CTGGTATTTATAATTCAATTAAAGAAACATGGATGAGATCTAGCTTCTTCAAAGAAAAATGGATTTATACTTCATTGATGTTCTAGAAATACGGATCTGATACGTGAGAAGTGTGGAGTTGACGTCAACAAAAAAAAGGCCATTTATGTCAGTGACAAAACATTGGAATACGGCTCATAAATGATGATAACAACAGTTTGTTGACAATAACAACAAAACTATAGCATTTGGCTGCAATCATATTCTCATCAGCAAACAAAAAACGCACATCTCGAATGGCATCATCCCATCCACCTTCAAGGTCAACCAACAACAAAATAAACAACGTTTGATTGTAGTGACTGCACAAAAATGAGATTGTTACGCATTACTGAAACGATTAAATTGAATCGCATAAAAGAATATCACTGAAGGAATGCAAAACTGAGTGGGGGCTAATTTATTTTGTTTCTTTGTTTATTCATTTGAGGGACGGACGGATGGCTTCGTATGATATGTGAAAATTGTGGATACGAACGCAAACAAATATATGAAAAGTGGGAAACAAATAAATGAAGGAAAACAAGAATTGCGGAGAGCAAATAGATAAAAGTGAGAAAAAATGAAAGAAAACAAAAGGATAAACTAGAAATGAATGCAAGGCGTATTAAAAAGTAACAGACTGTGGGCATGAATTAAAAGCATATATTTTAAAATAGTTAACCTGAGGTACTACAACAAAAAAATTTGATTATCATAAAACAAATCGGATAGTACACGTGCCTCATCATGATACTGTTTTTATTGCAATCCAGCTATTACATATAATAATAATAAAATGTACAAATGTGCAGAATGATGACAGGATGAACAACGAATGCTTCAATGAATGAATAAATAAACGTTCATGCTACATTAATATATATTTATCTCATATTTACTAGATGGACACTGATAACGAAGGGAATAAATAGGTTCACACAAAACTGAGGAAGGAATGCTATGTAGAGGAATTAGCAATCTCCTCCTCAATACTTCAAGTAATTACGCTTAATTTTATGTTCTCGCTATCAATCTGTGCAATTTTTGGATTCGTATCATATACAAATTATTATGTGAAGTTTGTTTGGTCAATTGAGCCAGACCAGAGAAGAGAGAGAGTATATTTTCAAGCTGTGAGTTGAACAGATGCAGCTGACAAAACGATATTAAGGAACGTCCGCATTCATTATACAACAACAACTAGCTTTTCAGGTAGTAGTCAACCCTTATATTTCCACTTGCAATTTTTCGTTGAAAAAATAACCGTTCATGTGCACATATCGTCCTTGAACAGATCCATCAAAACAAGCGTTTATATATATATATATATATAAGTGAATGGAATAAGTGATATCAGCCCTGGCTGATCAAACCGATCTCAGCGTGAAAATTATTGTTGGTTGCTTCGAAAAAGAACAAAGTAAAAGAGTGAAGACTACAAACGAAAGAAAGAAAACATTTATGATGATGGGATCCGAGATTAGTTGATAAGATAGCCAGACGTATGTTTTTAGATAATACAACTGTCTTGGAGAAGCGAAAATGAAATGTTATTAATATGAAAATGATGAAAATATTATGAGATGCATTACCGATTCAGATATTCTTCCTTAAATACGTATGTTCATTGAAGAATAACGAGAAATGGATTGTTCTCCTCGATATTACGTAACTAATAATAACACTTGACAGTTGTGCATCATATCTGAGATTCAATGAATAAAAAATACGAGATGATCAAGAGATTGCATAAAACGGAAACATGTTATCAAAATAGCAAATTTAGCATGATCCGGGGTGCTGATGTATGTGCCCTATTATGTTCACTGTTCAAGCGTGTGGCGAATAGATCACCTTCGCCTTTTTAAACTAGATTAACAAAAGCCACGCAAAAGATCGCAACTTCCTATCTTCTTTTACCTTATTATTCAACTCACTCTATTACACCGCACATCTTATGTATCTTACTGGCTCAAACTGATCACTGACTTAAGAATCTAATAATTCACGCTGATAATCACAACGACAATATTTTTTTACCAATAGGGGGTAGGTTATGAAATGAAAATAACACAAGAACTTCAACTGATTACAAACAAATCTGTAATGATAATGATGAAACGATAAAAGAAAGTTCATCACAAATTGAAAGTTTCTTAAATACGCTCACATTTTTAAGTTCAATAAATTTCTTCTTATCATACAGTATTTGTTTCAATTCATTTCAAAACAACACTACCTTGAAATACTCCAAAAATAATACATTCCGTCATTGAGTACGTATTTGCAACAGAAATTAACACGATATTAGAACATAAGTGATATTTGACAAATTAACACAATTAGAACATATGAGTGATATTAAACAAGCGAAATATCACAATGAACTGTAAGTATTCTCCATCGAAACACAACTAGACTATGTAAAAAATGAAATAACTCTGCATTTCAGCGAATGAACAATATAAACCCCGTTCAGCAACACGCAACTATATACAATGCTCTAATATCGTCGATAATAGTGCCTTCCTTCGTTCATCTTCCTTCTCGAACAAATACAACAACAAAAACTTGTTCTACAATTCAATTTTTCATCGCAGTAGCTTTTTTGAGTACTTTTTCTGTTTTTATCATCATGGTATGTGAAATACTGATTGACTAAATAATCAATGCAACAAGGCAACCAATCCAGTTTTCTGTGTTATTTTTTAGGGTAACTAACCAACCAACTGTCAACCTAGGTGAAGTGAGTGACTCAAAAAAAAACGATTCAACTGGAAACGTGAAGCGTTGAGGTGGCATACCACCTCCTACCTCATAACCGCTTATGCAAAAATAACAAAACGACTCTTGTTTACATAGTGATCTTTTTTTAGCAACACTCTTTCAAATATTATATAAACGAACAACAAAAAACAAAATAAAACCAAAAAACGACAAAATTGCACTGCACCTCTCCTGTTAACTAACCAATACGTCAATCCTTGCAATCAATCCGAAAATGAATGGTGAAATTGTCGAACAAAAAGACTGCAATCTTCTTAGAACTGGACAAATGAGAAGTAAGAAAAACATAGACGGGACAAAACGACGAACGAAATTTCAAATTGGAATCAATCAAAAATTGAGAAATGAAATTGATAATGAAATATCAAACGATTAAGAGCGTTGTTGTTTGAAGAATTGAAAAGCGATTAATTGTAGAGTGTGCAGTGCTGACTAACAGCAGTAATAATGATAGCATGTAGATGAATAGCAGTTTTGAAAGATGGTTGAGTGCATATTATAGCAGTATAGATAGATTTAAAAACGAACAAATGATGGTGCTAATGCGGCCGCAATATTACCCACACATTTTTCAATTTAAACATTCCTACTTACTGAACCAAAACCAGCCGAACAACCCCCTCCGTTCCAATAAAAATTACCGCCCGACAAATATATAAAATGAATACTCTCACTATTTCACTCATCACAAAACGAGTCGCCGTTTGAAAATAAACTTTCAATAAACTGAACAAACTTTCAGTTACATCCTATTCGCTCTGCCATTTTACTCCTCTTGGCTATTGACATAGCGCGTACGCACTTCGCCATATGCGCGTATCAGCGAAACGAGGGCGGAGTCACGACTGCATCGCGCGAGGTGAGATAAGGAGAGAACGATTACTAGAGCAGATGAGAGACCAGAACCACCTTAAGAGAAATACCGCGCGGAAGTGAGGCAAACAGAGAACACTGAGTAGAGCAGATGATATAGTTGAACGACATTGTAAGACTTACTTATTCAGAGACGAAAACAAAAAAAATGTGAAAGCAACGAAACAAACTTATGTAAAATCATGTCTAAGCATAATGATATCAATGATACAAATACCACAATAATAATAATAATAATAGCAATCACAACACAAAAATAATAACGAAAACAATGACAATAAGGAAGGACCAAATAACAGCGATAATTATGAGGTCGTTCGATCGTTTGTTCTGATCCGAGCTTCTTTTCTGCTGTGGAGGCCCGAGTTGGCCACATCCGCTAGGAGGCACGGTACTCTATCGACGCACGCATAAGGAGGATAGACAAACGTAGCAAAAAATGAAAGTCATATTTACGTAGTACCAATTTCAGGTTAAAGGAACCAGATTTGAGCAAAGTGATTATGCACATGTTGTAGAGCTTGAAAAGTTGCACCAGATAAGCTATTTTAAATTGCAGAAAGTGTGTGCACTTTCGTGTGTTATGGGGTTATAAAAATCAAAAAGTTGCAGCTGAAAAAATACGGTACGATGAAAAAAAAAAGAGCTAAAAATATATCTCAATAATGATCACTACCAGATCACTTTAGTTAATGCAGCAGATCGTTGCATTTGGAACACCGCGACAACTGCTTCACAAGTACCATTCAAAAAATTGACACATCCAAACATTGTTTTACCACCCATCATTAATCAGTCAATCAACGGAACATATCGTCACCGAATAACAACAGATAATTAAATAATAGTTAGCTTAGTTTACTAATAGTTAGAATAATAGATATTAGTAAACTAGACTAACTACTATCTAATAATGTAGCTTTTCAAGCTTTACAAAATGCGCATAGTCACTCTACTCAACTCTCGTTCCTTCACCCTGAAATTCGGTACCACATAAATGTTTTTCATTTTTGCCCAACATTTTCTACTTTGAGACCGCTCAGGTTTTTTTTAATGATAGACATTTCTCAAAAGTAAGTTAATATGATAGAGAAATTTATTCCTTTAATCACACGTTAAACAGCAATTGCGCATGTTTTTCGCTGACTCCACTCCTGTGCTCAGACGCGATTTTATGGCGAAATGCGACGACACCATTGGCATCTGCCTCCAGAAGATGAGCAAAGACAGAGAAAGTAAGAATTGGGGAAATAAGATAAGACTGCTGCTTGGGTGGTCGGCGGTCCTTCTTTGAAACACAAAAATACGAAGAAAAAAGGTCATAACGCGTGAGTGGTGCTGATGATGCCGTCGGCAAATATCATCATCATTCCCATGAACATAGGAGCAGCAGCAAGTGGATTGACCACAATCTACCTATCTATCATAACAGCAAATAAAACCATTTTATTACGTACCAACCATATCAAACCAAAAACTGTGCCTTGAAGCAACAAAAATGAAACCAGAGACAACTGAATAAGTCGTTCTTAACTAGATCAACTAATTAAAAACTGAAACTAAGCAATCAGTTGCAAACAAATCAGTCGCACTTTGTCAGTAAAATCGAAAGGAATACTCATTAAGCGTATGATATGATGACTACTATGAAAACGTATCACTATTCACATTCACAACATCCTTCAATCAAACTGTTGGCCATTCAAAATGTGAACAAACTGAACTGTTGCTGTTTCATTTTAATTTTGAAGAACAGTAAAGAAAACGTACCTGATCCGAGAAATGTACGAGTGACTCGATTATAATTTTCAAAAAAACTTCTTGAGTACGACTACCCATCAAACCAGCATTCGCGAATTCAGAATATATCGCCGGCATTTGCTCTAGAAGAATGCAACGTAGTTGTGAATCTGAAAAATAGGATCAATCAATTGATCATTCCGATTTCAAGACGTTTTTCAGGTGATACTACGGTCAATTTTATTGGGCGTTGGCTAATTGATGGAAGCAACCATTCTGCTATGAGCAAATAAATGAATTACTACTACGGAGAATGCATCTGCCTGCAAATAATAACTTGACAAATACTTCAATCACCGATTCAGAATAATCAAACAACCTTCATCAGTTTCAAAAATACTTTCCACCATACCACCAAATCGCTCGAGACGATACTGATCCGCATCAATATCTAATGTACGCATCGTCTCCGCAACACTCTTCACTGCCAACTGTCTGTAACCATGCTTATGAAAACAATCACATAATATTTGCTTTTCATAACCACAAAGATGCTCTTCAATTTCAAAGTTTGAAATTTCTTCTGACTCATCTTTAGACTGCAATCAGTCAGATTCAGCATTATGCAAAACATAATACTAGTGCCAGATGATAAGTTAATGATAAGTTCATTTTCGGTACTATATAAGTTTGTCTACAATTACTAACAGTTTCGTTTCAGTGGTCACCATTATATTATAAACGAACAAGGTTAAACGCCATAAAAGAACAACGAAGATAAAAGATCACAACAGACGATAAATTAAATAAGACTATTTCAAAATTGTTCACATGGATAATATAATATTAAGATAGATCGACAACCGAGTGTGACGAAAGAAAGGAAGTATATTAACTCACAAGCAACCACGCGCATTCCTTTGTACTTAATTACTATTGCGTACCTACCTATATGCATGATAAACAGATTCAGGATGAATAAATTCATTTTTGGCGTCATGTTACTGCTACTGTCTATGCTCTACGTCCTTCAAGAATTACTTTCATCATTGATACAGGACAAACCATGCAATATTTTGCAAAATGTATTATTGTAATAACCTTAAACAAATAATCAAACTTATGCGAACTATAAGAAACATACCTGTCCTCGATGTTTGAACTTGTTGCAAAATGCATGAAACGTTCGAAATGTGATGACTGAACTGCCATTGCATCACTGTCTGAACAGAAGGTTGAATTACATTTCGAACGACAACCCATTTGGCACTTCCGGATCGAACAGTACCAAAACTTTCGTTTCGTAATCTAACGGTATCTTCGCAATCAATTTATGATAAATAAATAAGCAACTGTATTACGTTATCTGTCGAAAATGGCAAGCTAGCAACAATCGATAACAAATATTGAGAATATGTAATAAACCTGTTCTGCTACCATCAACTTTGAAGTTTCTCATATACGGGCCATCACTTCTGGTTCCTGAAAGGATCAAAAATAAATGATCCAAAAAGAACAGATGGATGAATTCGTTCCATTCATGGTTAGCAAATGAAGCATTTATCAAACTGTTTTGTAATGTTGAACTGAAAAATGAACCGCAGACTTAAAAACTCCACAAAAAGTAACCTGATTGCAATAATCGACCCTGATTGATAAATGCCATCAATGAAAGACCACAAAAATACGCCGTGAAATCGAACTAGGAAGGTATTCTATTTGCACTTTGAATTATTCCCACTATTCGCATCAACATGCGACCTGGTGAAAAAGAATTTTCATACATTTCGTACTTGGTTGAATTATTTGAAATGCTTCCGAGTTATTTCATCATAAATAACAACGACAGCAATATTTATAGTGAGAGTGACAGGTACAATAAATGAAAAAACAACAGTAATTACATGTCAAGGTAAAGCGATGAGCATCATGACAAAAAAACTGGTATTTCATTGAGCGATTCAGTTTGAAGTTGGCACAATAGCTGCTGATGACTAAAACAAAAGTAACGTAAGCAAAAAAGACGAACTAACGAATAGAATGAGATGAACCGTCATAAGTTCACCTTGAATCTGTTCACGAAATGAAAAAGACCTTCTTTAATCACCCCGGAAAACTCACATAGCCTTGCATTCGTCAAAGAAAAACCCGCTATCATATTACACCTCCCCGTTTCAAGCATGTTCTTCTTTGACGTCCATCCCGAAACAGAACCCTCCTCAACGTAAATGAATATTCCGCGTGATACTCGTTTGTCGCGTGCGAATCTAGTAAACCGAAATGTTCGCGTTAAAGAAGCCAAAAAGCACTTTGATACGCGCACGCGCCTGACTCGATGAGAGAACGAGAGGAAAATGCTTTGTAGATGAGTATAAAATGAAAATGCTGGAAAATGAGATGAAACAAGTGTCATAGTGGAGTCTTTCGAGTAACCGGTCAGGCAAACGACTAGAATCCCTGCAAAATGGCGCATTGTCACTTCAAAAATTCGAGTACTTTCCGACGAACTCGAGACGTCGTTACCCACCACCACAAACTAGGTGCGTGCGTTCCAAGTGGGCAAAGTGCCGAAGCAGAACTTTCTACAGACAATGCCAAATAATCCACTGCGTTAAAGAGAATTCAATTGCCCACCAGTTGAGAGCTTCTCAGCAAAAGTGCTCGTGTAGTTTTCGAACGTCTAACTTGAAATTGATGGTTGTTATTGTGAGACATAGTGATGTTACGAGCGAGTGAAGCGGAAAAAGTGCCGCAAACATCAACAGTGTTGTTGAGAAAAGATATCCTGCTAAGATCTGTTGTTGAGCGTTGTCAACTTTTTTTCATGATTTTTTTCGGTACGTCGTTTTAGGCTGCGGAAAGCGTCATCATATGAACGTGGTCGAAAATGCTCGAAGTTCACAAAAGACATGGAAATGTTAACTTTTGGGCTGTTGTCGTAGAAATGCAGCCATTTATTTGAAACTAGCAGCAAACGCCAGCAGCAGCAGTATTGCGATTGGGATCATTCCAACTGAAATACTTTCACTTTCATCGTTCACTGGCTTAGAATGTCATTCAAAATCGGTGTTATTCCGATCAACGAACTTCCGAATTCTAGTCAAGCAGTTATTGAACCCGTCAAAATAGTATTTCATCGGTCGGATTGCAACCGACATGAAATTTCGTTCAGTGGCCATCACTAGTGTGTATAATATCAATTGACGATAATGCTAAGAACGTGAAGGAACAATAAACATATGAAACTGATAAGTTGTACTCGCGTTTTGACACGATGAAAATTTTCGTGATCTTAAGCCCGATCGATTCAATGAGATCTGTTCACTTTTGATCAGATTCACGAGACTATGATAACCTGAAATCAAACGTATTGGATAATGAAATGAAATTTTCTATTTGATGAAACATTATTACCACACGAAACAGGATCAGGAAATGAAGTGAATCCTCATTTCGTAATCGTGAGATCCAATGGCATCCCGCCATTGGATGGAATGGAGTAAAAAAAACAATAAAAGACGACCAAAAATCAATCCTAGACTGAATCCTACCCTCTCATATCCCTACCACACTAGCCTAGAACTGACTCAGCCTCCCACCCCAACCCCCNCTCGCCCCACCCCACCCCATCCCCTTCACTACCCACCCCAACCCTCCCCAAATTCCATGCGAACCTCAACCCCTCGATCATAATCTCATCCCAAAAATTCGGGCCATGCTTTGAAGAGATAGATAGTTAGAGGTTGATAGGTAATTAGATCCAAAATTTGGTTACATAAACAGCTATGGATAGATAAAGTTTTGGACAGATCAAATTTAGATAAAGTCCAAATTTAAATAGAGGTGACGCTGACTGGTAAGTGTGACCTTTTTTCCCAAAACCTACGCTTCAAACCTCTATATTCTAGTGATGGCATCCGATTGACGTTCGGTCGGAATTCCAAATTTTAGAATGTTAAAAAATCGAAAACCCGCAAAATTCAATGATTCTCGAAAATTAAAAAAAAGTAAAGTTGGCAAACAGTTTAACATCAGCGAAGCAAGTGATCAAACAAAAGACAACAGATGTTGTGATACTTGAAAGATAGAGACTGGAGATATCCATGATGAAAAACGAAGTGAATTTAAGTTATCAACAATTCCTAAGGTTTAGACATGAATATAAAACATTGCATGCATGAGGAAATGAATAGAAAAGACATCAATATAAATCAAAAATTTTAATTTTGCATGATTTTCTATTTTATTCTGTTTTATTTTTTAAAAATTTTTATTTTGTTTTATTTTTGAATTGAATTTTTTATTTTACATTTTTTAATTTCGTTTTTTTTTTCATTTTTAAATACTTTTTGTTTTTATTTGCTTTCTTTTATATTGTTTTGTTTTTATTTTTCAAGTTAGGGATGCAAGCAAACTGATTGCAATTACTCGATTTGTTTGCATTCAATTAAAACAACCACAGAACATATTAACGAAATATGATCGTTCGCTACATTGTTCTTGATGCTCGAAAAGAGTTTTCCGTTCTTCTCAAAGTTCATTTGAGGAGAACGGAGGCTGAAATTTTCCATTATGCTAATAAACCTAAAACTTCAAAAAATGCAACCTTCATTTCGTTCCCAATTTCTCACTTCCCAGTAGATCTTAAATCAAGGATAAGAAGACATTACTATTGATTTTTTCATATTCAAAAATTTTCGTTCATTTTCTCATAATGATGGTCCACACTATTTGGGCGGTTATAAAATTCCAGCATTACAACAAGTTATAATAATAATAACATAAGTAGAATATAATAATAATAACAGAAATAGCACAAGTCAAATTCATTATATAAAAGACGTCTTCCAATAACATCTGTGGCTATGACATTCCATTCTTACTCCTGTAGTTCATGTGCTCGCTTCACTAAATTTTTAATCAATTTCTAAAAAGTTCGCATTCTTAAACTTATCTGGATTTATTTATTTTTAGTTCGATTTGAATTATTATCTCAGTGAGGTGTGCTCTATTGCTAAAATTTTAAAACATGCAGGAATATAACCGTTTATTTATTGCTGGATGAAATTTTGGGGCTGATTGATCATTTGCTGAACTGATTGTTGGAGTGTTGTTGAAGTAATTAAATTTGGTGTCGCTGTCGCCCTTCTCACATGTTCCCCTCAGTCGAAGTGGAGCTGGTATTCGGCCCCGATCCGTGCCATTAGATCGGGGTTGTCCGCCTTGAGTCGCTTGAGGAAAGAGCAACATTCGTCGGCCCTCCTCACCGCCTCAGATGTGAGGTGCCTATTACGGAGATTCGGCACCGTCTCCTCATCTGCGCCTTACTCTGGGACCGCAAAGTGTGAGTTGTCGCGGCCCAGGATCTCGAAGCGCGAGGCGGTTTTTCGTGCCTCCATCATCTTCTTGGAAGCACCAGTGAACCTCTCGGTTCGATGAGAGTCCGTAATCACTTTGATACCTTCCTCCGAGAGGTGCTCTGAGGGCATCGCAATCACGTGACCGCACCACGTGCAGAGGGCTGAAATTCATTTCAGTTTTGGTTTCATATTTTTTCCATTATCACTGAACATGAAAAAATCCTGTCAACATCAGATTTCTGAAAACATGAACAATTTTATGAGAGTCAATCACTCAATTAATGACTTAAAACATTAACAATTTTAGGAACACTAAAAACTCATCGTTGACATCCTCTATTTAAGCATGCAAAAGTAGGTATTGAATTAATTTTGAAACATCGTCAAATTTAAATGAAAACAGGTGAAGTGATAACGTACTTTCTTTTTGATGACATACAGTGAATTTTGCAGGCTTTGAATGGAGTTGAGGAACTGTTACAGCCGGGCAAGCGGCACCCTGAAACATCAATTGTAGTTAAATATAACTAGTAATTGGGAATGTGAAGGGAAACGATTGAATATGTGCCTATAAAATGAATAAGCGAACAATTAATGCTAGTGAATTACGTCTAAATCTTACAATAAAGGTGCAAGAATATTGTATCAGAATTTTGCTTTCCTCATTGCGATAGTTTTCATGAAAATGTGACGAAGATCAATGATAATAAATGTATAATTGTTTTTCAAACTGCTTACAATGATAATAATAAAATTAATAATAAAGTAATAATAATAATAATATAAATGATAATAATAATACATTCCATCCATACAATAAACATTACGAAATGCTAACAAATTAATGCTGAACGAAACAGTTCAAATGGGTTAAGACACTTAGAGCCAGTAGTGATGGGGGTGCGCAGCCCCGTTATCATCTGGGGTGGGGTCGTCGTTAGTTGCGGGTGATTCGGGGTTAGGTTGGGGATCGGGATCTTGGTGGGGTAGGGGATGGGATCAAATTTAGATTCCGCGTCAAGATTAGTGGTGTCCTCGGGCTCTGGTGAAGCTGGTTCGTTGGCTTCCATCTCGTTGCCGAATAAGTGGCCGTCATCGCCTTCGCCGCCCAATACCTGGAAAAAATCATCTCTCCAGTTAGAATAATTTATGAATCGTTTTGGAATCGCAAAATATATATAACTGAAGTTCAGTAGATGATTTTCCCTTGCTGAAACTTTTATATCAAGCATCATTGGGTGATACGAATTATAATTGATCTAAATGTTTGATCGGTATATAAGCAGCAACTGTATATAAGCAGAGCGTTTTGTATTAGAAATCATTCTGTGTCATTCTTCATTTATCGGGGTTCGTCTACTAATTGGTTTTAATAAACGAATAATTCAATTGTAGTCCCTACAACAGCAGTGAATAAGGTTTTTTAGATTGTCGTCATCATCTTATCTATTGTCAAACAAATAAATAAGTCGCATCTCAAATATCGCATCTTTTACGTGTAGAAATAGTAGTGTATGCTTTTGATGTTTCGTCCAGTTCTACTTGTAAATATGCATCTGTTAAATCTACAAGATAACATTCACCTTCTCTACTAATAATTTCTCTCAGGTCAGAGAGAATTTCAATTACTCCTATATATATAACAATTGTGGCCATTGAACATTAGCAGTGATCATGCCAAGTAGCATAATTCTCGTAAGTTGATACTTCCTGTGGAAGGTCGTTACACTGTTTTAAGGTACTGATTCTTGCTACACGATGATGTACATCATTGATTATGAATTTTTCTGTCGAGTGACTGACAGTTTCAATTATTTAGTCAATTTTTCTGTTTCAAGCCGAACAGAAAAACTCGAACTTATCTTTACTGCTGCCCACTCCGCCCCTTATATTTTATTCCCCGGATCTGCGCTGCGAAGCGGCATATAAATTAACCGGATTAGTTCTATTTAAATGGGTAAGAAATTCGCATTTCTTAACGCATATCAAATAAAATTGTGAGTGTTTCATCACTTGGCGGACTGTCATTCCATTCGTAATTGGCGAAGTGTGTGTATAGCAAAAGAAAAAACTCGTTGTGAATTCATTAATCATATGGTGGTTTTAGAAAATATTGTAGAGGCAACAAAACGTGGATTACGACAGCGGGGTTGTGGGGTGCGTGGCATTTGAGAGTTTCTTCAGCATTTTCGTCACTTAATGGTGGTTATTTACAGAAAAGAACTGGGCTAAAAACTATATGATGTATTTCGTCAAAAAATATGCTTATGGTTACTAAGTGTGCTCTAGATGGTTTTTAAGGCTCCATAAATGCTCACCATGTGTGCACAGTTAGATTCGCAATCACTGATTCATTTAGTTTAAAGTATGTGTTAATTGTGTTCGTAATGCGCAGCCGTGTCCGTTTTATAAAACTTTTAAAATATTGAATGTTGTGTGGTGTAATGTGTTGTGATTAGGTATGACTGTCGAACAAACTTTATTATCAGATGTCGAAGGGGACTGAGAGTCTTGCCACGAAAAATAAGCGAGAACTGCAGCATTTAAAAGAGGAGGTCAAAGGACACCTAAGGTTTTTCGATGGCTTTCCGAAACCCGGCGTTAATTTCGTGTAAGTTTTTTTTTACATTCCCTTTTCGGTACATTTGCTGATAACTGGCGATACCGCGCCATCACAGATGATCGTGTGCTCATACGTTTCACACATAAGTCGATGCCTATGCGTTAACCTCATCGTTGGGTTGAGCGTAAGTCTAAGCTTAAGCATACTCCTGATTTGACTTCGAATTGCATATCTACACATGGGGCAAAGCGGTAATCTAAGCACATGTGCGTAGTAGCAACCGTTATCAGCAAAAGTGTCCTCTGTTTTCGCTTTTGTTTAGAGACAATAGGATCGGTAACTGTAGAATGCTTTACAACATTCGAATGATCAACGCTTTTAAAATTTGGTTAGTGCAAATAGAGGATTTGGTAGTAAGAAGAAGATTGGTTCCTTTGCCATCGAATTTCAGCATTCTTTGTATCCGATTTCGGCATCTTGATCATATTCATCATAACTGGTGGTTTTAGGCATATCGAGAGGTTGCGTGTTTAGAGAATGGAATCAATATTCAGTTATTGTTTGTGAAGGAAATGAGCACTCTTCTAAACATACTGTCTCATTGTCGTAGTCGGAACAAAATTTTTTAACGTCTAAGATCTCTTATATGGTGGTTACTGTCTGCGTCCGTTGATTACACCGCATCTCTCTTTTGTTGTATTTTGTTTCATTCCCTCTCTTACCTGAGTAATATTACCTTTTCATTATGCGTCTACCCAGGTGCAACATTTTCTATGATGAATGTATCATTTAGCTAAAGATATTTAAGACGTTAGACAATGACACCATCGTGAAAGTTATGACATGACATTAAGTTTGGTTTATGATTATTGAAGCCCTAAAGAGGGTCGGTCGTTGGGTTTAAATTGTCTTTCTTAGGCCTAGGCTAAGTCTAAGCCTAAGCCAAAGCATCGAAATTCAAGTGAATGAAGCATTCTGATCGTTTGTGATCGTGTTAAGCGGCCCATTAAGATCATTAACAATTATGTTGCATTGTATGGTGTTCACATTTTCTTGAATTTGTCATTCTCTCTGCCTCTCCATCCTTTTCGCTGAAAAAACCTCTCGACTGTTACGCGGCTATAATGAGCGATAAGTTCATAATGGAAGTTGATAGAAAAATTGTATGAGAAAGTCTTCTCTTTCGAAATGAGAAAAATTTTCCTCAGACCGCGACTACGGTTTGTCTGGGATCCTGGGATTTGAGTTCTGATCCCGATCCCGGGATTTAAGTGGTGAAGAATCCTGGGATCTCGGGATTTGATGAAGCGAGTCATTTCGTACGATTTTGGTAATAAATTCGTCTCGAATCACACATTAATCATTCCCAGATCATTCAGATGTAGTAAAATGAGTTGTACATCACCCTTTTTTGAATATGATGTTGAAAAAATTTGTAAAATGCTCTGATAAGATTGGGCAGATCCTTGCCGCTCTAAAACTCCCATATGAACTCAGTGAGCACGATCAGAATGAAAAAAAAAACAGACTTATGCAGTGCACTGGGAGTTTTTGAAATTGCTACGAACACATTGTGTCGTCGAGATATCGGTTTGTTGAAAGCAGATAAAACGCTGGAGTTCTCCGTCGATGCATTGAAGAAAGTGAATGCGAATGTCGTTAATGACCTTTTGCGTGCACTTGTGCTAAGGATCAACGAGCGTAGAATATCAATTTTAGTGCACTTGATGAGATATATGAACGATTCTGATTATGAGCAGATGGAAATAGATTATATGGGGTATGCGATTGTGAGAGAAAATATTGTGAAGCTGATGGCGGATTTGTCTTCGAGACTGTTCGGTGAGAAGAGAGAACAAAATGATGACAATGCGTCAATCTCATCGATAGCAGCAGAATTTTCAGAATACGAATGATCTCTCTCAAGGAAAATAGAATTGTTGTTGGATCCTGAAAGGTGTGAAAGCTGTAAAAGTTGTATATGTAAGCTGTAAAAGAAGCAACGATGTGAAGAGCCGAGTAATCTTTGAAATGCATTTATATGAAGAGAGACAAAGACAAAGAAATGAAAAAATTGTTCGAGTCAATCAAAACGATCCCAGCAACGAGGGTCGAAAGCGAGCGCGCTTTCTCAACTTTTTCTTTTTTTTCAAAATTGAGAACGCGAGTGAGCGATGGAACTGTTGACGCTCTCACGTTTCTCAGACCTTATTCCAAACAGCACTGAATTACATGTTAAATAATAATTGTTACGTGATCGTTAAATAACTGCAATGAATTATATTCTTCACGTCATTGAATAATTTGTTGAGTAATACGAGTAGTAATTGCTGCGTCTGTTGATTTGCATTTGGATAATTCATTGTATGTGTTGTATTTGTTAAAATTTTGTTGAATAAGCTCTTTTCTGGTTAATTATGATCCAATTCGTTCAAAAAAGTGTGTCTAAGCATGTCACGCATCGATATATCAAAAGTTGTTCGGTTCCCAGGATTGAAAGTCGATCCCAAGATTGAAAAAACGTCGGGATTTTGCAAACTCTAAGTGTGATAGTGGGTGTTGAAGAAGGTGCATGAGTTGATTCAGTGATAAATCTTATAAGATGAATGGAGTAACTGAGAAAGTGATTGGATCAAAATTTTAGGGATGTGATGGTACTTATGCGTTATCCGGCACTACTCGACGAATTATGCCACGCAATCGCTGAGCATGCACGTGCCGAAATACCTGTGGCGATAGATGCAGTTGCTGGTCTTGAAGCGCGTGGTTGGTGGTACTAGCCTTCTGTCATTGCAAGTGTTTTTCTCAATTTTCGTTCATTAACAGTCCAGTTATTGAATTCAGTTTATGAGCAGTTTCACTTCGTTATAATCCATGCATTCTTCTTCGGTTTCCTGTCCTCTGAGAAAAAATAAGCAGTAGAAGATTCCGAAGGTGATATCGTTCGTTTGGGTTGCTTAATAGATTGTTCATTATGTGTTTTTTATCGTAGGTTTTTTATTCGGCCCTCAAATAGCGATCGCATTGAATGTTCCATTCGTTGCGATTCGAAAGAAAGGGAAGTTACCTGGCAAGACGATTAGTCAAGAATATGCAAAGGAGTATGGAACGGTTGGTTGTATGTCATTTATCCACAGTGCATTCTTTATGTTAGATTTTTGAGATGTTTTAAAGTTGTTCTAATTATTTTCATTATCACTATGGGTGTAAAAAGATTGCAGACTTGCATCATATTTTGCATGCAATAGTACTTTGTCATTCAGGATTTAATAGAGGTTCAAGCGGATGCAGTTCCAGTAGGTTCGAAAGTGCTTTTGGTTGATGATTTGCTAGCGACTGGAGGTACACTGACTGCAGCGATATCGTTGATTGAAAAAGCTGGTGGTGAAGTGGCTGAAGCTTTCACCCTGATTGAGCTCACTTATTTATCTCCCCGAAAAGCCCTACCATCTCATATCCCAGTTTATTCTTTAATTCCACTCGACCATTAGATCGAGCTAGTTCTTGTTTCACTTAGATTTGTATTGCTAGCTCATTTTCCATTTCTCAGATTCATTCAGCTACAGCGGTTGAGTTGTTCGTTCTGATCGAATGCGATAATCGTTTGCATGAACTGGAAATCGGGGATTTTAAAATATTTTGAAAGAAGATTTTGTTTCGAACAAATTTGTTTGCAACACTTACGTTATCGTTCCACAATATTAGGCGTATTTCTTCTTGATGAATTCAATCGTAGCATTTTATCTGAGAATGTTGTCTAATTTGTTGAACTCAATTTTACGGTTCTGTTCAATTTCAGTATTGATAAGATTAGTGGAATTATTGAAATTTTCATACTGCCATCTTGTTGCTTGTTTAGCGATTTTGCTGTGTTCTTTTTATAGAAATTGCGCAAACGGGTGGTGTGTTCATTCTAGGCCTTTTTTTAGCCGAACCAGTGTTTAATTTGTTCTTCGAGGTTATTGTTTTAATGCTCAGCCTACAACCTTGAATCGTTTTGATGTTGATGTTCCGCTATTGCAAGACACTAAGTGTATCGTCTGGAAGGAGCGTTTTCTTAAGGGTAGGAACCGTGGAACAAATTTCCGACTCCTTTAAATGTCTGATAAAACATGACTAATTCATCTCGTTATGATTTATTTGTTATGACGTCTCTTTGATATTTGATCATTATCATTCGATGTGTATGCTCGTAATTTGTATCTTGATATGCATTATATTTCGAAGAGGACAGGATATTTGATTAGTCAATGTGGTATTATTGAATAATACGTGGATATTTTTATTTTTCATCATCGAGTAGATACATACATGCGAAATTACATATTATGACTTTATATTACAAACAACACCCATTATGTTGATTAATTGTCGCTGCTTTGTTCGTTTCCGTGCGGCTTCTCTTGGTAGGGTGGTGGTTCGGCGTACACATCACGTCGAAAGTCTGTGTATTGAGGTAGTATTAATCTGGATTGCGGTATGATACTCTTGAAAAGTGGTCGTCGTGGAGGAGTGTATGCTGTTGGCTCGATTGTGTATGCAGGAGGGCATGCTGGTGGATATGAGATTGTACAGATGGGACCGATTGAAGCTGAATTGCGACGGTGATGTGTGTGACGATTGCGTGTTGCTGCTGGTATTGATGATGTGCTGAAGTGAGAGTTGTGTCTTGACTCGATTCATTCATCTTATCGAAAGAAAATAAACGTTCTGTTTTTTCGATTTGACGTTTGCTCGGAAATTCATTTCAAAAATATCAGATATTTTCAGAAGGTTACTAAACACTCGAATAATAATTGAAGTTAAACAATTGTTAAGATTCATGATTGGATGAATAGAAATTCTGAAGGTAGGCACAAAACCTGCACTCAGAGTGTGAAGAAGAGCGGTCGTGTTGATCACAAACATACTTGAAGTATCGGTAAACGATAGGTAAACAGACTGAGATGAGTAGCAGTGACGTGCACGAGAGAAGAAACATCACTTTATACATCATAATATCATGAGCTGTAAATTTATAAATGCTGTAAAGCTAAGGAGCATTCACAGTGACCATACAATCTAAATGCACTGCTAAATGTCGAAAAATCAAAAAGCAGTTTCGAGATGCACCGTTCAAATAGAACTATGGTTCGGATGAGCGACTGAGAAAATAATCCGACGACTCACCAAGTATATCTAGATTTTTTTCATAAAATTCACTTTTGGTTGAATAAGGACCATACACGTACTCATCGTGTGAATATACCAGTGGCGCATGTTGTGGATTACGAATAAATGTGAGTGAAAATGATAACAATACAACGAGTAGAGCATCAAAAGTACCCTGAAAATGAAGCACCAATTATTCTGCTATGAGTAATAAATTATTTCAAAATTCAAATCGATTTCATTTCAAGCTTGAATTTTCAGAGTAATTGCTTAGCATACAAATTTGAAGACTTTGAAAAAGTAGTATGAAAAATAGGTTTAGAAGATACAATGTTTCGGAGATATGTTTCTGAAATACTTTTCTGAATTTCACCCAGCTTTTGAACTGAGTACAGTATGCAGTTGAAAGGATTTTGAACATTCAATCTGGTGACACGATTCCTGGTATGTTGGAATCAGTTGCTAAAATTTTGTTTTACGATGGATGTTATTGAATTTACGTAATTCGAATTTTTATCTCAATCGTTGCAATTCTTAGAATGAATAATGAAATTTCGGATTGTAAAAGAAATGGAAATACCAAGAAGAAGAAATAAGCGAAGATCATCCATCTGTTTTGTTGACGATAACCGAACATGAAAAATGCGTAAAAGAGTGTGCCAATAATCAGTGTGAAATATGCAGGTAATAAGCGCAGAGTTATCAGAAACAACATATTATTCAGCAAATAAATTGCAAAACTCAGCAGGACGGCCACTAAGGCAGCGACCTGAAAGTTTATTATCAGATCAAGTCCACATATTATGCTATTAATATGCACTTTGGTCTTTTTTCTTTGGCATTGATTCGACTGCCATTCTGCTGTCTATACAGAAATACATTACCGGAATCATTGCATAATGACTTTCGATTCGTGACGAGTCATTCTCGATTGATGATCGCAAATGAATTACGATAGAATAGCAATTACTCGATAAAGTAATAAGCGATTAATTCTAGTTATTGTCACATTGAATTTTGCTATGAAATGAAATGCAACCTTTATATGAATATGTTTGCAAAGTTTGGAATGCGGATCATGCTCATTGCAAGAATTCCCCAACTCGATCACCGTTGATACATTGTTCGTTGTGGATGCCACTACAAATTTCGTTTGATAATATTAAACGAATGTCATCTTCGAATTCGTAATCATACCACTGATAGTTCGATTCACCAATTGCACCAACAAATTTCCATTCAAAATTTCAGCTGTCAACTAATTCCCATTCAGATTGACGCCCAACTATAGAGTGAGTTCAGCTTTATAGATCTAAGTTTATGTTCAGTGAATATTGTAATATCTTACCTCGAGCGCACATCCACGTCTTAATACCACTCAATGATTAGCGAACATATCGTGAGAAAATGAATGATAACGCTGAATGATCTGATCTGCCTGAGGAAAGTGTAAGAAAGAAAAATTGAAATACCATATCAATAACTGAACGACTGGACTAGTACCTTGATTTGAAGCAATCATCGTTTTCCAATGATTCGAGCTTTATCACATCTACAAGGAAAATGCGATAGTTATGAACAGGTCGATCTTTTATATAACTAAGCAGGTCATATAACTAAGACTCCGCCTGTTATGCTGATAAGCAGAAGGGGATAAAAAAATCAAAAATGTGAAGCGATGTTCCGACGAAACAGTGAACTATCGTTAATGTTTGTAATAATGATAGGCCTATTGTTGATTGTATTATACATCTATAATAGTACATAAAGACTGCTTCACATAAATATAAACACTGTTGATCTGTGATTGATCTGATTATTTGCACTATAGTGACAATGTCTTTTTGTCGAGTACCATCTGAAGACATGATTGGTTATTCTTATCTATACAAATCCTCATCAAAAACACTTATTTCGAGGTGTTGAGCAGATGAGATTCTAACTGAAAAAATTCCATCTTAATTACAAGCAACCGTAAACCATGCGAAACATCGGAAGTTACAAATGAAATATCACGATTGATGTGTGATGCTTTTCTCTGAAAATCTGATCATACGACTAATTTGAAGCAAGAAGTAGTAGTATTGTAAGTCTTATTGAGTGATCATTCCTCGTGGATCACTGAAACGATATTTTCTGTTGAATAGATAGAATCGCCATTTGAAGGTGCTGCAAATGAATGACTGCTCTTTGAACGCATTATTACAACTATTGTTTCATTGAAATTCACTTCGACCTGATAAGATGATTAGACTGATGATGTATCGATAACGATATATGATAAACAGATAAAGTGTGGTCACATAAAAATGGTTTTTAATACATATAGATGAATTTTTGTTTTGAACCACAAATATTTTATAATAAATAATAAAAGATTAGGTGTGCTGTGTAAATAAATGAACAGAAGGCGTACGTGCGTGCATGTGCTATTGATGAGGTTGTTACAGTGAAGGTGGCGCTGAATTATGATGTAATTCTATTTCGTAATCACTTTTTGTATGCTTATCATTCATTATGCATATTGGCATAAATCGTCGATGAAACGAGAATGGGTCCCCGTCCATGACTTTTTCAGAGTGAGCACATTTCCGGGGTCCCCGACTGCAAACTTCAGGCTGCAAACGACTGTAAGTTTTGTTCCTCGAATTTCCCGACATCCGCCCTTGCCATCGCCCGCACTACACTAGTCATCATCATCCAAATGCAAGCAAAAAAATTTGGGATCTAATCAGCTGCATTCTAGACCGTTTTTAATTGCATTATGGTAGCTTATAGCCACATTTTAATAGTTCAGCAGGAAATGGCAAACTACATCAAGTGCAATTAAGAAATTTTCATGAGTTGTTTTATTGGGTATATGGATATTTGCTGGTATTGAATTGTTTTTTGGTCCGAACTGAGGATAAAAACGAAATGGTAAAACCCGAACTAAGAAAAGCTAATCTTCGGTTGAGTATTTAGTGAGTTGAAAAACGAGAAAGATAGAATGCTATTGCGAAATGAAGAGCATTTTTTAAATGAATTGCGTAATTTATCAGTGATGATAATAAACATACATATAACACCTTTCATATTATACTACGTAGTGCGACGAAATGCAACTTTTTTTGTTGCTTCTACTAAAATCAAAAACCGTTTGTACTAAATGATCAATCACCAGCAAATAAAAGAAATCACCCCATTTCGATGACACAATTTTTAAAGAGGACGAGCTGAACGATTAAAGACACAATCATTATGATAATGATAAAATCAACAAATAATAACACCAACTGTTAGCTGTGAAATTGCACATAAGGGACACTTGGAATCATAGAGCAACCTAGAATAGTCTAAATTCAATCAGCGTACGTACAAAGCAACCTAACAAGGGTTTTCAAGAAGAGAGAATCATTGTGGAACAATAGTGAGGGTAACGGGAGTACATTATAACTGTGCATCGTGAGGATTCAGCGCAAAAACTGCTGAAAGTAGCACTTTTTGTAGCTAAATTTTAAAATTTGGTAGGAATCCATTAGCATGGCGAAGAGCAATATACAGGCAGTAGCAATCAGAGAATGAAATTACTGTGCACTCGTGAGACGAATGAATCAAGCATGAGCTAAACTGAAATAAGCTGCATTCAAATATCGCCTCAAAAATTAGATGCTTATGATATGTGACACATCCGAAAAGATTGAAATTCGAGAGTGACTAATAAGTTAATATATGTGTGCAATAATTATGCAATTCAATTATGGTCACAGCTCTTCAGATGCCCATAATCACAACTGTTCATCATGAGATCGCTGTCGATCAACGCACCCAACAAACAAACACATTCTTCAGCGAATTTCTGTCACGGCGACCTTTTGCTGCTATCCAACGAACATGTCTAACCCTCAGATACTCACTCGGTTGCGCACTAACTGTTCATTTGTGCCTCCTCACAACTGTCAGTGGTTTTCGTCGTCGTTTTGATCCTATACCCATAAAACACTGCACATTCTCAAACAAATGTAAATAAATATTCACCTATTATCTGTTTATTTCATTCCTTATTCTTCATCGTTGCAATTTTCAACGAAGCAGCAACATACCAACTCATCCATCTCCAACGTAATTTCGTCTGCTACTGCTGCTGCTTTTATCTCAAAATAATGTGCGCTTACATAAACGTACAATGTTGTTCTGTTTCTTTCATGGAACTGCTTCATTGCAAGTATAATATGTAGACTAGTTTCTTTTATGTGTCATAGAACATACTAATTTCAAAGCTTACTTTGACGATGTTATTTGTACATGCGAGAAACTTATTCACGTGTTTCATTTGAAACAAATTTTCATTAATTTTCATTTAGAAAGTACGGTTTATGCATATTGTGAAGATTTTACTTATACCATTTTTAAAAAAATTCCATGCCTACAAAGCAGTCCTCATTTACCGCTGGTAATTTATGGTTACCTTCATAGATTCTTTTTGCCTCTTTTTATGGGCTGTAATTAGTGAATTGAGTTTGTAATCGGCACCTCGTTGCTTCATTAATAGATCGATTGGGCAGTCAGCTTGCCTGAGATCAAAATCGAAATTCGAAACCTTTTTGTGTTCGAAACGATCGTAATCGAACAAATGACGATAATCTTATGGCATTTGAACTTAAGATTAGGTTGACATTCATGCCATGTGTTTGTTTCAATGAGTCTGACTAGTCTAAATCTACCACAATATTTCACAGTGATTATCGCCACCTTAACTGAGCAGTCACCGATCCATATTTGTGTTCGTTTCACGAAATCTTTTTAAATAAGGTAGTTTGATCGTCATGCAGTGAATACTTTTAGTGTAAATACCCTGTTGTTCTTTGATTAAGAGTGTGACTCCGAGGCGAGCTTATCGAGACAGGCATTTACATCTCCCTCGGTTCTCATGGCAGAATAGGGTTAATGAAATGTATGGCTGCAGTAATAGTTGCATCAGTAATCATTCTAAGAATAACGACAGCAATAATATTAATAATAATAACGACAGCAATATTGTTGCGTCAGTAACAATATTATATTAATAGGGTTATAATAATAATAATAATATTATTATTATTGTTATTAATATTATTATTATTGTTATTATTATGTAACATAATAATATATATATATATATATTATTATTATTATTTTATTATTATAATATAAAAATAATAATAATAGTAATAAATAGCTACTTACCATAATAATAATGATAACAGTAATAAATGATAATGATAAATAATAAATAACAATAATAAATAATAATAACATAGCTACCATTATTTTCATTCTTATCAAGCATAGTTACAATAATGGAAATCAGTATTTATGACCAGATTTCGCATTTAGCAGTCATATGAATATAAAGTGGTTGAGGTTGGCTGTAAATATTTGTTTGGCTTTCTTAAACACATGTGATAGGATGGTGTGGGAATCAGTTTGCTGGGCTGCTTGTTGCGAGGTGATGAGTCTAGATTTTTGATAGATTTGGGTTCGGTGGTTCCTGAACTTTTGCCTCAAGTGATAATTTCAAAAGAATAAAACGCATTGAACACGACAGACTGAGGCTTAGGCTTAGGCTTAGACAATGGTTTAGGTTCAGGCTTACGTTTAGTCTCTGACTTGGTTTGACACTCACCCCGGGGCTCAGCGTTGGGTTTATTTTGAGTTAAGGCTGAGGTACACTGAACACTTGGAAGTTGCAGCGGTTGGCATTGCAGCGAAATGAGTTGTTTAAATAGTTACAGTTTGACTAAATGTAGTGAGCAGAAAAGCACTTAATTGCATTGTAAACGAATTAAGTTACGAATAAAGGCATTAGCTGTTTCGCGGTCGCTGCATTTTCTTCATAGATGCATATGAATATGTTGCATTATTGATACAAGTTGTATTGATCGAAAATACAGATTAATGAAATGCGATAGATAGAAAGGTGGATGGATGAGATAGCTATATAATAGTAGTCAAGTGCAATCAAAACAAAAACAGTCATTACATTATGTGCTGTTGTTGTAGCTCAACGGACTACTCGTCGGTAAATGCTCAAGATGGTGTCGAATACGTTTAGTGTTACGACGACATCTCCAACATGTACCTTTCTATGTGTGTACAAAATCTGATTAACCGTTATCTTGGTTTGTGCTGTCACGATTTATCAAAGGTCAATCGTGAATTTACTCATCCATTATGTCAATGATCTCACCATATCCATCATCTATCGAGGTGTTCGTTTTTAATTCGTTTTTATTTTCAAAACTGCTCTGACATGAAGCAGTATCATGAATGGAATGTAAAACTAATCGTTCATGTATTTGTTCTATTGCAGAACTTTATTCACTGATCAATTCAGCATTCTAATATTGCCATAACTGGTATTTTCATTAAAAATATATCTGCAAAATAATTAATTCATATAATCAATGCACTCACCCAATTTCTTTACTGTCCATCTGTGTGCAAAGATTTCACACAGTTATATTAGTTGGTTGTTTGAATTATACGAATTGCTGTCATCTATTTGCGATTGTAGCCTATTTGAATTGCCAGCATCGATAGCCATGGATATGAAATATGTACCTATAACGTTTATTAATTCGATTTGCTCTCTTCATTCCACACGACACAAATTAAATTCGTATCGCACTTCTTCAAAAAATCATTCTTATCATCACTTTCTATGTATGCCGTTTCTTTATGTTCGCTTTTTTAATTAGTCCGCAATGAATGAAATATCGAGAAAGTTCGTTTGACATCATAAATTGTACGTGTACCATTCCAAAGCCTCTTATTCATTTGTCAGTGTTGTTTTTGAGTGCGTGATGCTTTTGTTAGTTGTCTTGCTTTTGTTTTCTAATAACCGTTTTGAATGGTTTCTGATGTATTGTTGAAAAACGATTGATTTGCAAGTGTCATTTCAACTTGTTTTAGTCAAATGGATGAGTACGGTTAGCAGAGAGCACAATGGTCATCTGAAGACGTGACTTGGAATGCTGTGTGCTGCGACAACGACTGCAAATGAAAACATTCAAAATGGATGATGATGATGATAATATTGTTTTTTGTTCTCGCAAACACACACGCACACACACTCACACCTTCCTTCCGTCTCCTGCATTTATTGATCTCAACCAAGCATGATTAAGCCTAATAAGCCTTGCGCTCTACAGTAATCCGCCAACTCATCCGTCCGCTCAGTTTATGCTATCAAATTTTGGTGTTCGTTTAATAATGATGACAGCCGACTCAGGTCGAAGGGTGCTGCTGCTGCTGCTGCTATGCGCTATGGCCGGAGCACCAACTTGTGTGCACATAGAATGCACGGCAAGCGCGTTGCGTGTCGTTCGATGTTGATATATACGTTGTCGTCGGCAAGCAACTGCACATGAAATAGTGCGCGCGCCTGCCTGCCTTGGCGGAGGAACGTGCGCGCTGCCTCCCAATCGCGTCCAGCACCGCAACGCACCGGTACGGCCTCGCCGGGTTGCCGGCGGTAATGATGCTCGTGCTCAGACCTCTTTTCCTCATCTTTTGTGCCGCTTTTGTGCTGAGTACTGTATGAGCATGGTACTGTATTTTATCGTAACTCACTTACTTCCAATATATCAATGGACAGCTGATGCTTTCCTCTTTAAGCTGATTATCCTGGCCAGTGGAAATGTCATTTGATACGTGCTTTCGAAACGCTGATGGATTGAGCACAGCTAGGCTTGTGCTTTCGAGTTTTAGCTTTTGCTTTAATTTGCAGCATTTATAAAATGATGCAGGCGTAAATTATGCGCGAACCGTTTTGCGTAGCCTTGTGATGAATGTGGATTGATGAGTGTGTTGAATAGTGATGTGCATGCTGCGTTACGAACTAAAGCCAATTTGGAATCGTAGCACGAGCACTATCATCATATCATAACGTAACTTTTCTTATCGATCAATCTTATGCACTTTAATTGTTTGTTTAATCGATATTTCCATTGAGAATACACTCTATTCATCGCTTTTTCACGGCATCCTCATTCATTTTTTCCCTTCGCATCAAACTTCCTCAGCACTTAGCACTTTTGATTGTGATCATCAACTGTTGAATTTTATTCAAATGAATATGCTTTTTCATATTTTAACCATAATATGTATCACCTATTTTTCTCTTCAAACTACTACCGATTAGAACATCCTTCAGCGATACGCCTGCCGATCCATTCGTTTTCAGAGTAACACTGCGGTGGTTTGAAATTTGATGGCTTCGTCATAGGCAACCGACAATTGGTGGATGAAAGCGATTTTCTATTCAGTTATCATCATTCTTCACAAATTCAATCGACAATCGAAATAACCCGGTTATCCAAGAAGCCTTGCAAAAACTAAATATGACAAAACGAAAGTTTAGGTTTTCAAAGGAACGGAGATAGATTACAAGTAATAAATGCTTGCTTGCATTGCTTCAATCATATTGCGTGCCGCTCGTCGATTTTTCAGAGGGCTGATGGCCAGTCCATATTTCGGGTGGAGATAGGAGTAGGGGACTCTGTCCAGCTTCCTCATCCTCAATAACCACTGTCTTACTCGCCAGTTCTGTCCTTGCAAATGTTTTGTTTTTCAATTAGAGCACTGAATATTCGATCTACGCGATCTTAAAAAGATGCTTTTCCACAGTTAAGTAGTCAGTTACATTCTCCATCATAGTTAAGCCCAGTTGTTAACTGTCAGAAAACAATTATCGACCGTTGAGTAGTGCTACAAAAAACAACTTGATGGCCATATTCATCACTATAAACATGATTCACTATTATGCACCTATTGAAAAAAACTCCATTCAAAGTTCGGAACAGTGTAATGAGATCGTCGCAATTATTTCCATGTAGATCATGCGTAATCAACTATCGAAGATCCGCAATTATAGGCCACTTCATTAAATTTCAAAACAATTCAATGAGTCACCTTAAGTAATTAAGACAACAACGGAACAACAAATTTTCAGTCAATAAGCAATTACATGGTCATTTTGCAGTTCCATTTATTATCAAAGTCTTCAGTAATTTTCCTCCATTTCTTCGTTATCAAGTTATTTCAGGTCTCTTCAAATTATCTAAAGACAAATATTTCAGATAATGTCAACGTGAATGAATTCAGAGCTTCCTTTACACTTATGGATTGAAAAGAACGTTCCATACATTTTCTGTGAATTCATGTGTTGAAATCATCATGATTGCAGATGTTCATCTGAAATGCGTCGGTGATACAGCGCTCATTTATATACCTCCATTTGTAAATGGTTCATAAAGTTATTCCAATTCGTTAATCATCAATTATTAACGCAAATTTTAGTTTGCATGCTCAGCTTTTCCAAATTCATGTGGTAACTTCACACCCGTATCGTAGAATTATCTTCAACCGTGATCAGACAGCATCTCAAACATGAGGCATTCCATCTCCTAGAACCACCCACTGATATCATTATCTTCTTCATGCCATCTTTTTCCGACGGACTACACCTTTATTTCAGTAACCGTATGATGTTCATATTCAGCAAGGAGAAATCGATAAGAAAAGGTGCTTGAAGGACTGTTAGTCGTTCAAAATCGCTATTCCAGTAGTACATCATGCTAACTGTCAAAAGTTTCATGCAAAAGAACACAGCAAAGTAGAATGCACTCTGGTCATTGACCGAGTATTGATTCTCGCCACTTTTATGCATACTAAAAATTCCATCTAGAATTGTCCATCAACATTGTTTACCTAGTTTCATTGAAGTTTTTATTCGTCGCAGCACTCTCCTATTGACGAGACAAAATGCTCGAAACGAATCAGAGAAAAAGAGATGTCTAGTGAGACAGAGAATGAACTGAAAATTTTACTGCCGTTTTTGATTAGCGTGTGTCGACCTGGAAACTTGCATATTATCTCAATGGAATTTCAGAGCGACTAAGAAATGTTTTCGACATCGAACAGTTCGAAAATTAAAGAAATGACGCTCGAATACAGTGTTCGTTAATTATAACTTGTTGTTGGATGAGATTCAGTCTTCATTGAATTATTGCCTTGACGCAAATATTGCTTTATCGTTCAGCGTTTACCGATTTCATTCTACTTTCATTTAAAGCATTCGTCACTTTTCAATCGTTTATTTATCGTTTCTTACCACTCTTTTGTTATTATTATTACTTTTATTATTATTATTATTATTATCATAATTATAATCATTATCATTATTATACCGATCGATAAGTAGGCGAAATATTTATATCATTCATTATAATCAAGTCATAATCGTTTCGCACTGGAATTCAAAAAAAATTCACGAATGTTCGTATAAATTTGAACTAGTTGTGCTGACTTTACAATCTGGTGTTGATGCTCGTCCATTAGCACTGTTTTAGGGTGATGTCAACTAGAATGAAGCTACATCAGCACATCAGCGCCACTTATTTGTTTATACAGTTCCAGAACGTAGAACGCATTGCTGAATGAAATTCAAACGCTTTTCAGTGCTCATAATCGTCGGTTGTTGCCAGTTGTCACGCTAGCAAAATTCCTTAATATTTGTCAGTAAAGTTAATTGCAAACGTCAAGTAATCTTTTGATTACTATTTTTTCCGAAGACTGATGACGAGTTGAATTATTTCTCAACTGAATGTGCAAGTTGACTTGAGGTTCGCGACGAGCCTCAATCACGATTGAATACTTAAATTCTCTTTCCATAAAAGGCAATCTAAAATTCTTTTTTTAATACCTCGATAGTAATGATGCTTCTTTCTTCACTCATTTATTTCTTTCGCCTCAGCCATTTTATTCTTTAACATATCCGTCAGATGAAATAATATTTTTTGTAAACTATTGATCGGCATTTATGAAATTTGCCGCGAACATTTGAGATACGTATTGATTTTTGAGTTATGTTCGTTTGTTCTAAATTCTCACAGCAACAGATAACTTCCACACCATTTCATCAACAAACTATTGATTCTGCCTTTTTTTTTAACTTGAAATTCATTCTGTTCCTTTCTTTACTTCAAATCTGTTTTTAAATACCAAATTTTTTGATGAAAGGTAGACAAGTCAGTTCGGAATTAATCGAAGTGTGAGCATGCATGGCGAACAGGAACCACCCTAATTCCAGTACCTTCAGCGACAGGAATAAGAAATTAATTCATTTTCATGTGAGTTTTTGCCGTAAGTGATAGTGATTGTTTAAAGCTGATTTTCAAGCATATTACTTCAATATTGCAACTAGTGATGTCTCTATTCCAGTTAAACAATTCTATTCCTGTTCTATTCCAAGGAATAGAATAGAACAGTTCGCAGATGAGGACCGCACAGAATAGAATAGAGCCGTTTTTAAGGCCAAAAGAATAGAATAGAACAGTTTTATTAGATTTTGGTTGTTTCTTAAACTGTTCTTTGTGAAGACTGCAGTGAGATAAATTACCATTGTTGTATTATTGCTGTTATTATTATTGTTATTATTGCTGTTACTATTATTAGATATTATTATCCTGGTCATTATCATTTATTAATATTATTTTGATTACTATTATTTATTAATTTTATTATCTATTAATACTGTTTTAATTATTATTACTTATCATTTATCATTTTTCTTATTGTTATTGTTTTTTATTAATATTGTTTTCATTTTACCTATTATTATTTGTACTTCTGCAAGGATAACGGAGAAATAGTTTCTCAAGCAATCCAGTGCTGATAGCTGTTACAGATTCGAATTCACCAAAAAACATAATCAATATCGTTAGGGAGAGGCGAAAGGCCATCAGTGAGTGATGGAACAGCTCATCAAGGCCAAGTTATCGCAGTTAATTCTCAAAACTGCCAATGACTGTTTGTGTGGAATTCCCTCCAGAAACAACTAAAGATGCAACTGTGTTTTCGAATGAACACCCTACTTTCAAATGTTGGTCGTACTCTAAACTCTAGGAGCAATCCATCACAGAAATTGTTCACATTTTACGCCTCCAATAAAATTTATGCTTGGAGGATTTGAGTCCGATTGAACGACTGAATTCATTCCGAACTCATCAGTACGAGAAACCGTGCTCAGTTTCTGACCGAACTGTTGGGTCGAAACGAGAATCCTCTGTTCTTCAGTGATGCTGGTTACCAGAGCTCGAAACCCTCCGTTCTCTTCCAATCATCACGATCAAAAGCTGTCAACTGCCTGCATGGACAGTCTTTCCTCACCCGAAATAATCTCCTTTTTGTACTGAAAACGCCAAAAAAACCACGTTTCCAACCCTAATTACCAGAAGTTTTATCGTCTCACTTTTCTGACTGAGGGAACAGAATAAAACAGTTCAGAACAGTATAGCACAGTTTTAGCGGGCAGAATAGGATAGAATAGAACAGTTCTCAAGCGAGGAACACACTGAATAAAATGTAGTCGCTTTTGAGTGGAATAGAACAGTTTTTGAAAATGTGGTATAGAAACATCACTAATTGCAACTCACTGGATAATTGCAATGATTGCTCGTTCGTATCGTCTTTGTTTCAAATATTCAAGCGAACAATAATTCGTGTTACGAAAACGTGTTTACGTGTTCGTTGTAATTTATTCGAATGCAGCGTCGAGCATGCAACATCATCGCTTATTGTAATGCATACTGATAATAATTTCAGTGTAACGTTAAATGATGAAAGCTTATACATAGATAATTATTTTGAATGTTCATTTGCAACTGTTCATATTCACATTCGTAGAACTACCTTAAAAGACAAGGATTGGAAGGAAATACGTGTACAGCTATTAATATATATCATTGATTGAAAAGAATAGTGATGAGTACGAAATCCGAGCAAAGGGCACCACTACCTCGAGCTACAGATGCGATCACGAAGGTTGTCAATGGTGATGCAACAAGTTTGGCATCGACCAACGATTCTATCAATGGTTTCGAAGAGGTGCGTTCGCTAGTTCATCTTAAATTTCACATAATCTCCTTTAACATCTCGAGCATGCATCATCCATCCATTCATGTGCTATTCGCCGTTTGTTGTTGGTGCTTATATCATCATCATTATCATTCAATTCTTGACATCTTGTCATTACTCAGGAAATATTTTACTGATATAAACATCACATACTTTTGTTTGCATTAACTGGTTTGAGCTATCATTTTATCAGAAAATGACACGTTATAAGATGAGATGAAATTTTAACTGATGGTGAGTTACGATTGTTGTTGATGCCGTCGCACTGCTTGCTCACACACTTGAATAAGACCTGCTACATAGGTATGTTTATTTGAACTGCAAGTGACGACGTGCATATGACATATATACATGTGATGTTTGGTGAAGGGGGGTGGGAGGGGGGGGGGTTGGAAGGCGGGGTCACACCAAACAATTCGAACTCTGTTGAATGCTGGTGTGTGTAGCGGGATTGATGGGTACATACTCACGAAGTTTTTTTATTGTGATTCGGTAATGGGTTGGTTGGTAGTGTCGTCTGAGAGAAAGCGTCATAATAACTGCCGTCATTAATGCATGAACTTAAAATTTTTGAGTTTAATTGTTGCAGTGAAGTAGTTCAAGTTGCAGTGATTAATGCACGTATCTAATAATGCGTGCACAAACACAGGTTTAAAGCTGGCAGCATATTGCCTTCGTCAGCAATCTTTTAATAAAATGCTCGCTCGTGAGATAACGATAAATGATTATCCAAAAATTGCAAAAGTGGTTTACGTAAGATGTGATAAATGAAGAAGTGTCATCTGTGTTTAAGTCGAATGACCGACTTCTTGGTTGTTTTTATTGTAGAACGATAATGAAAACTTTAATGCAGCAAACAGTTGTTGTCGATTGGCTCTTCGAGTAACATTTATCGCATGATCCCTCCTCCTTGTTATGAGTTATCCTACGTGATTTGATGATGTCATAACTTCGTGTGTGGCCATTTCTTTATGCTTATTGTGCCATGTTAGCATGACCCGATAAGAAGTCATTATGCAAATTTCTTATCACTATGCAAATTTGACGTAATCAATTTTTGATGATAGTTTCATGGGAACAACTAATGTTTAGATGTTGAAAGGTTTTTGGCGAGCAACAGACGGTGTTCCTTTCTGTTTTTGATTTTATTCAGTTTTATCTCATCTGATCTATAATAAGCAAGCAATGAGCGTTCCTTTCTGTGCTTCTCACATAACGAAACTAACAATGACCGCAAATGAGTTTTCGATGTTTCTCACATACAGTCACCAAGGGTGCGTATGATAATAAGGTTCAACCCGACCTCTCTATTTATAATTGATTTTTGCATACAGTTACCTATGCAGCAAGCTATAGATCTATCTCATGAGGTGAAATCCTGCTTTTTTTTAGTGCGTTTGCATCGTGATGAAGATTGGGCTCACCTGACAATGTGCGCATTTTTAATTCGGCGTTCGCATGAATTGTGTAGTGTTGGAATGTAAGAGGAGGGTGTCCTAATGTTTTTGTGCACGTTTGTTGCATGCATGAATTGTGGTAGTGCTGCATATTTGCATGGATTGATGATGATCATTCAATCAAGATGTTTAACTTGAATGCAGTCAAAATGAAGATCAGCAATAAAAAGTTTATGAAATTTGCTTCTTTCCATTCTTCAGAATGGTGTTTGTGAACAACAACAACATTCGCATGACATCGAGCAGCAACAGCATGTCGTCGGAAGTGCGCCTGCGTGCTCAACAGTGAATTTGGAGAACGGGGTTATAGCCGGTGCAGGTGAGCTGTCACCATCGGCGTTGCGAAGAAGTACGCGCGCTTGTGCGCTCAGAGCAGCCGAACGTATCAAGCTTAAGGAGAGTCTAACGCCGATCATCGACGGACTAGCATCACAGAGTGTAATTATCACATTATCGTTACTCGTTGTGTTCATGTGTGTATATGTGTTGTAAATTCTTATAATCACATCCTGGTGAAACTGAAATGAAAAGCGCTTGTTAGCAATGATTTTGTTTATTGATGATTCGTTCTAGGGTGAAGGATACGTATCGGGTGACGACGATTTGGACGAGGGCAAGCGACCTGCTAAGAAGCGGCGGATGGCTTCAGGTTATGTGCTAGATCAGTCGAATTGCAAATTCGGTATCAAATTGGAAGGGGATGAGGTATTATTGATGAGCGACGAATCTGAAGTGTCAAGTTTGAATGATTTCGAAACGGAACAACTCAAAAAGAGTTATGAGAAAGTTTGTGTTTCGTTTGAATTGTCGCCTTTTCACTTGATTAACTTTCATTAGTTCATTATCTCGACAGTCACCGTGACGGAAAGCATCAACGTGAAAACACATTCCAATTGTCTTCACCAGTTTACTCAGCTATCGATGTTTACAACTTTCACTAACTTCATTACGAATTGTTCGCTTTTCGTCTACGATTATGAAATATGTTCTACAGCCATATAACTGACATGAAAATCCCTGCAGCGTAACATTATGTTCTGTGCTAAACAAAGCTGCCAAACTAGTTTCAACTGAGGATTTCTCCTCGTGGTCAGCCTTATCTTTATGTGAGGATCATCCGCAGTCCTAAGTTTAATTTAGGCTTAAGCCTAAGCGTCAGCATCAGCTTCATTCTGAGGCTGATGTTGACGGTATTAGTCTCAGCATAACCGTCAACTTCAGGGGGAGCCTACGCATCAGCCTTAATGTTGATTGCAGTCACGACACTGTCTTCAGACGAGTATCTAGCTTATTGTGATTATATTCTTTCAAAAAAGAGGGAAGGAGTGTTAGAATGATCATCAGAAATCACTGCGGGAACGGAATGTTCACTGCATTATCCTAAGTGTTGCACACTAACGACTTGACTGGTTGACAACAGTGTGGTTAATAGATGTGCCAACACGTACACGTGCATCATACCGGAACTGAGCTACACTATCGGCTTGCCATCATGCGAAATACTTATTTCTGTGCCTGGATCTATTTTATGTACAAAGTCACTTTATTTTACCCTGTTAGATTCGTTTCGTCCCTTTTGTAATTCGATGATCTTCGTTTGCAGATCCTTCATAGAGATATGCCCGAGGAACAAAGAAGAGAACGAGAATTATTATTGAAAGCAATGGAAGCTGATTTAAGGCTCGAGGAGGCCAAGCTTATGATGCTCAAAAAGTTACGACTCAGTCAACAAGTTTCTGTGAGACAGGTAATTGGGTCCTTGTTAATCATTTGATTTTGCTTAGCTTGATCGAATATATAATGCATGGGATTCATGCACAGGCGTACTCAAGAAGTTTTCATGTACAAATGTTTGAGTGTTTTTAATAATCACAAGATAAGTGGGAGTTTCATGAATGATAATTTCTTGTGTTGGGCAGATGATGAGAAATAAGTTTATGAGTGTGCATTACATTTCTGTGTGAATTTGTAGCTGCAAGATGCAAACGTACGTAAGATGACTGCAAACGTGGCTCAGAATGGAAGTGGTAATGCTTACAAACCACCAGTCGCCACACCACCTACACGTTCTGTTGGTTGTTCACATAATACTGTTCATCCGAAAGGTAATCAATTCACTAAATGATTCACTCAAAACTGATTGGCTTTTGTATGAAATATCATCCGCATTACATGTATATGCTCACTGCAAATTCTGATTTGTAGCCGGAAGCGTTAATAGCAAATAATTAGGTAGTTTGATAATTATGCGTTTTTATAATGCATTCAAAATTTGAACCTCTTGGAAAAATTGAATTGCCTTTTGCGCCGCGAACATCATTGTGCAGTTCATTAGTGAAACACTCATTGACTCATTAGCGAAAACGCATAATATATGGAAGGGTGAAACGAGGGTGGTTCAAAAGTTATGGTGGTTGTTGTGTGTGGTGTGTCACTGAAAGGTAGTTGTGCTCGGAACTGGAATGAGAGGTGTTGACTATGCAGAAGTTATGAGGTGAGGTGGGACAGATTGTAACATTTGAAAGGAAGTAGTATATCTGATGCTTCAGCATCAACGTCGTCGAATACAACCACGACGTCGTCGTCGTCTGCGTCAGCACTTTCGTCGCGTAACGCAATTAATACGGCTGCGGCCTTGATGAAGCTAACCCAGCAACAACAACAAATGCTACAGAATGCTGCTAAAAGTGGCCTACTGAATTCAGCTGCTGCGCAAGCGATTCTTCAACAAGCACAACAACATGCTCAGTCAAATGGTTGGTTGCTTGTTCGTAGTCATTTAGTTGTCTGGATAAATGTGCAAATGAATTCAAGGTCGAATGAATCATCATCATCATCAGCAGCAGCAACAGCAGGCGTCTGCTGCTCTCTCTCAGCAACAACAGTCTCGACTGAATGCGATCGCACAGTCCACTGCACGAGAGTCGGCTGTCCAGAAAGCAGCTGCAGCCAAACTAGCACTTCGTCGTCAACTCGAACAACAGCTTCTTCAGGTTTGTTCTGTGTGACTATGTGTTTGACTAATTGCACTTATTCGAATCATTTCTTGCCGTTGATGTATCCATAATACTAGCAATTATTCTCATTCCTCAATAAAGCTATCTGAGTAATAGATAATAATTTTAGATAATAATTCGCCTTCAAATGGATAATTTTCCTTCAGATTCCTTCAAATGGATAGTAATTCTCATTTCTTCCAGATACCACCACCGCGTCCGCCTCCCCCCGAAATGCAGTTCATACCAAATGGCAGTCAACCGGATTTCTGTTATTTATTAGGCTTGGACATCGCAGTTCAAAGGCTTCTTAAAGACAAAAATGCTACCAAGTTCGTGTTTGTATACTTCACTGATCAACAAATGGAGATATCTCAACGCTAATTTTGAATCATTGATGCTATGAGTGAGAATGATTTCATTGCATGATGGATAAAAATCGATGAATTGAAGGCATGTATCAGAGGGACCGTACATTTGTGAAGAGTGTGGCACCGATTACACACCGTTATGGAGAGCAATTGGTGCGAATGAAGACTCATTACATCTATATTGTGAAGCTTGTGTGAAAGCTGCGCAAAAGAAGAAAATGCGACAAGATCATACGGCGCTACTTCGAAAAGCGTTCAACAAAGTACTGGAGAAAGAGCAGGTACGTAATGCTCACAGGAACGAAATAATTGTCAGTCTATTCGATCAATCCTTAATCGATAATTATTACAGGAATTAGAGAAAGAAATCGCTGAAGGAAAGTACGAGACAATTGTACCTTCTTCATCGACGCCTCGTTCTGCGACACCTGTGGCAACACCCCCTCCGAAACATGCCACAAAAACCACACCTAATTCGGGTATTTCCACCAGTAATCTCAAAACATCCGCTAGTTCATCGGTAGGTTATGTTCTCCCGTGCAGTTATTTTCATTTTTCAATTTTTCCTCTCGCTCAACATTTGGATGTCATTTCGAAACGTTACAACTTTGCAACAAGTGGAGTTGGAAACCGAAAGATTTTTTCCCGGTGGGCGCCGACTGAATGCTTTATCGGTTGACCGTCAACATTAGCCTCAGCGTAAACATCAATATCAGATTCAGCGTTGAATTGCGGTCAAGACAAATATCCAGACGAGTCTCAAGCTTACTGTGATTGTATTTTTTTCAAAAAAGGAAAGCGCGGTGTTGAAGTGATGATGTGAACCAAATATCTTCAAAAAATTTTTGCTGGAATGGAACTATGGACTGCACAATGTTGCACACTAACCACTTTTTAGTCGACTGCATTAATAGTTAATAGATATGCAAGTATATACACAACTATCACACTAGAGTTACGTGGCATCTTGCAGAATGCTTCTGGATATTATTATTTCACATTCTGCATTCTGAAGCAATCCAATCCCATAACTTATATTCCATTAAAAATCCCTGCGATAAATTGATGTGTCAATAAAATCAGATTTGTGCATAGCACTTACTAAACACCATCGGTCATTCATAACTTCAGCTTATAGCGAATATTTTAAAGGCACTTTTGCATCAGCAGACCAAATCGCAAGCTCACAAACGACCAGCATCGAATGCACCAAATATTGGCTCGCCTTCAGTCACCACTCAGAATGTCGCTGCTGCGGCAGCAGCAGCCGCAATTGCGGCAGCTGCGGGTGGAACAACGTCAAGTAATTTATTGCAACAACAGATGGCTGCCGCAGCATTCAGGCATACCAATCCAATGCTTGCTGCCGCAATGATGGCAAACCCCTTACTCAGTGCACCTAATATGCTACAGGTTTGTTGTGTGTCCAGCTAATCATCAACAAATCATTTGTTCATTCATTTCAGTCACTCAGTTCTTTAAATCCTATCCAGTTTTCAATTCATACGAACTGGCACCTAGGAATTCACTATTCATCAGTGAATAAATAAAGTTAATACCACACACATATTCATTGAATAAAGTTGATTTGCTCTGCGTCGATTTCTCATTGAAAGTCAAAAAAGTACATATTTATAAATGGCAGATGGTTACACGTGGTAATGTGATGGCGATTGAATGAACTGTTTAAAAAGCAAATAGTGAATCTGTTTAGATGCAGTGGAATCCTTTGATGCAGCAACGATTACCGAATTTGGCTATGGCCGCACTCGCACAGGCCGTTCAAAGCGCACAACAGAGTAATGCTGCTGCAGCTGGCTCAGGCGCCGCAGCCGCAGCTGCAGCCAATCCTTTGGCTGCACTTGCCGCTTCCATGAACCCGGCGGCCGCTGCAGCACTCTTCAATAACCCACAGATGGCCAGGCAGTTGCAGCAAGTCTATCAAGCCTCCCAAAGGAACTTTTTGCTCGAGTATGCCAAAAGTCAGATCAAAAAATAGTTGTAATAACAATTATTCATCATGTGCGCTTCTTTTCAATATGGGTATTTGTTTCGTTTATGATTGGTTTAAAACGTTTAAATGTTAGCTGATCAACTTCATTGATGACACATTTTTACTGAGTAGTAATGCTAAACTTGTTTACTTTCACATAAATTTCTGAATTAATTACTTTCGGCGATTTGTATTAGTTTTTTACTTAGTTGTGTTCCGAAATGAGCTGCTCATATTGTTCATAGGAAGAAAAGTAATAAGCGAAGTTGATGAGCGTAGCCATTTGCGTATGTCATCCTCTGGGAGCTTTCTAACATTTACGGAATGTCGCCTTTTGTTTCATTGTTCACCTATTGAATGTTTTTCTCTTGTTTTGTTGAATATGACAGTATTGACGAGATGAGCTAGAACCAACTTCAAAGAATGGGTTATTGATTGAAGTTCATTCTTAAAGCACCGTCGACTAATTTATTGATCGCTATTTGTTTGTTTGCTCATATTTCAACATAGTTATCGTTCGAACTTTCATCTCTGCTACACCTTTTTTCATCGATAACCTGCTACTTTGACTCGCCTCTCTGCCACGCCACGTTCCATGATTGCACCCACTTTTTTGTTTACTCATTTTTCGCTTGATGTTTCGTCATGATGCACATCTTAGATTTTGATTTTGGAAAGGGAATGAATAGTTGGGAGCTCAAAGGTTGTTGACGTACTAAAGTTTGGTCGAAATAACTTACGTTGAATTATATATCTCTCTTAGTTAGGGTTCACTTTTTGAAATAGTGATGAAACATACAGAAGATTGAACAGGCATTTTGGAATAATGCTGTCATTTGATGCACTTAATTGCTGTCTCATCTCTTACCTCATTGTTGGTGATATTCAATTTCATAGGTTTTTATAACAGCAATTGCTATTTCAAAATGTTTGAACACTACATGCACTCTTAGTTGAAGATTAATTTCTAAAGATGGGAAGATACGTTAAATCTTTACAGTGACAAAGGGAATGAAGTCACTTATTAACTTTGTTTCCCTTGATGGATGATGAAAATTTTCTATTTGAAATACGATTATGTTGGGGTAATCGTTTACTGATTTTGTAACTTATCTGGTTGTGTGACATCTCGTATTTTGTTAATAATTAACAGCTCTGCACAGTGTAGGTAGGTGCTCATGAACGTTATTAGAGTGGTCTGAAATCATTGAGGGCAGTCATTGTTCATTCATCTTTCTCATCTCGATTGTAGCCGATTTTAATTGTTCACGTTTGCAAGAGTGTAAATATTTTTGACGGAATTTGTAGATATCATTTTTTTTATTCAACGATTTTCTAAAGTACTGTTCAGTTATCATCGCTATCGTTGAGTCCTCGTCAGCAGCACTGATCTGATTGGTTGCTTTCTTTCATATTCAGCGATTTTGCAGTGATTTTCTTTCTAAAGAAAGGTTCTGTTCTTAACACCTTATGGATTAGGTTTTTATCAACACCGTTTCTTATGCGACTGTCTACTGTCTTAACGTTCTCGCACGCATTGTTTTTCCTTTAATTGTAACAAATTTTATGTTCTAATAGCAAGTGGAGGTCAATGAGGTAACGGTTAGAAACAACCGATTGTTACGGGCACATATCTATATATTCATGCCGTCATGCTAGTAAGTATTTTAGACTCGGAAATTTTCGATAGAATGAACGTTATCTCGTTGTTTTCTTTATGTTTTACGATATCAGGGGCAGTCTTTAATTCGTTTAAGCAACTCTTTGTTTTATTGAAAGAAATTGTGATAGCGCAATTAGTTTATGGGCGTCAGTGATGAGTGGTATTGTATTTAGATGGAATCTGCTGAGCAAGTGAACAAAATCATGCGACTTGAAGCAGTGTTTCTTATCGTTGATTCGATCGCATTGCTATCGGTAGTTTCTCAGACGGTGGGTAAATGAAATTCTAGTGAAAATTCACCGTTGTACAGTTGACTTTATGAGTTGGTTCTTTACGTAACTCGACAGCGCATCTCATGAAGTACGTGTGATCAAACTTGTTCCAGTTAAAACAGTTCAATTCCTAATATTGCTCGTTCGTTTTTCTCATTGGGTTTCTGTTTTTTATTCGAATCATATCTGATTTGTGATGAGTGTGATTTGTTTTATTTTTTATTATTTTTTAATGTGTTTATATTTGTAGAGCGTTTCTTACCTACAGCGCACTTAATGATGTTTTTGGATTATGATAATGTTGAATATGTGAGTAATATTGATTTGTTGGATTGTTATTATTATTATCATGGTTTATTGAAATTTATTATTTCTTCATCAGTCCATTGCTGCATTGTTTTGTGATTATTCGCATATGTATGTCTGAGTAGCAACAGTCAGTCTCTCCTAATCGATGTTCTCTCGAATCGCGCACACGATCAATGCATAAATTTTAGGCTTAGGCTTTGTTTGTGTTTCTGTTTTAGAGTTCTGCAGCAAGATGCATTGATGTGAGTTAAATATGCTCCATTTTTCAAACAGAGTGGATCATTCATGGATTGTATGAGACAGAAGTTTGAGTGGATAGAAATGATGTGTAGATATATACGCACGTTCAATTTCAGTGCACCTTTGTATAAAACGTTTCAAATTGTTCTTTTTTTTATTGTTGAACAAAGCGGTTGATTGGGTCACTTTTCGAATGTAGTGCCGTTGCTCTTCATTGATTTTTGCTTTACATCGGGGGAAAGCTTTTGCGTTGGATCTTATTTATATAGTAATTGTTGATTCTAAACAGTTCGCGTTAAAGTTTTGTGGTTACGACTCATTTCGATAGCACTCCATTCAGTGATGGAAAGGCGTTTCATTTGTTTCTGTTGTACTTACGGTGTCGTACGTTTTTCGTGTTTTCCTTCATTCCCAGTTGTTGTCTTTTTGGAACAATCTTGAATTGGTTTTTTTGCTCGTTTCTCTTATCATCAATGATTGTTCGTTGTTTCGCAATTTGCTATTTTTGATTATTAACTCTAAATAATGATTATTATTATTACCATTACCATTAAAATTATTTTCATTGTACGCGTTTAAATAAAAATCTCACTTGCGTAGATGACTTTTTTCGTACGTTTAATGCATGTTTTGGCTAAAATGTTGAAGGTTGGATTTTCTTCATGAGGGGCACATAATAAGAACGAGGACAGCTGTGCACATCAACACAGCTATGCATGGTTACTGTTTTTTTGGACTGCATTAATTGGTTACACGAGAATGTTTCCGATATTACAGTTCAAATGCCCGCCTTGTGTTGCTTGGAAATGGCACTCGTAAGACTTTTGATGAGCATCGATGATTTTGTTGTATTTAATATTGCATATAACCAAACCAACAATTTGTATAATTACATGTCAGTGGAAACATTTATGTACACATGAATATGTATAGAGTTCATATATCGCATTTCCTCAAATCATTCCTCTCTTCCCCAAAACAGAATTACATCCACTTATACGCTCAGTTCGTGCTTAAAGCTGTGGATTCCATCCACAAATTAGTTTGGAGATAAAGAGAGTTTGGAAAGTCTACACCCTTCCGCACTTCTTTTCAGCAACTTGGATGAAATTAATCCCGTGAGATTTTGAGTCGAGGAAATACGGTGTTTTTATTACATATAAGTACGGGGAAAATAATAAAACGCCTCCAAATGCACATACAAAAAATGATCACCATTAAAGTTTGGGCATCACAAACTGACGGCACTCAAATAATCAAGGAAATAACATGAAGTTATGTGTTATTTTGAGTGAAGATTATTCATAACAGTAATAAAAGATTATTATTGTCATAAATTTTATACCGAGTCGCCAATAATAAGATTATTTTCACTTAATTATTAGTTAATGAAAATAACTTACATAAAACGAGACACTCCATTAATTATAACAATTCTTTCTTAGTTTACGAACTTTCATAAGCAACAACATCGTTTTGATATGTTCGTTTTGTTTCATACTAATAGTTAACCCACACCGTTCCAACAAACACCTCTTCAAATATTTTCGTCTCCTTTCAGACGCAATCATGAAATTATCACTGCTACCGACTGATGGATTCTTTTATGATGATTAGTGGCTGGTTGACTGATATGTTCTGATTAATGATGATTCCTAAATTAGTGGCTGGTATATCCTGATGATTGGTAGCCGGATGTGATAATTATTATTTGTCGAGGAGTACTGACTGAAGAGCGAGTGACGAGATGACCTATATTTACACATAAATGCTTGAAGAGTGAACCAAGTTTTGAAACAATGATGGGTATTTTAGAAATCAGTTCTAGTTTGCACATTGTCTTCGTTGAACAGGCTGCATCTGTGCATGCATCAATCAGAAAATGAAACGTAACTAAGTGTCAAGGTTCTTCTCAAATACTTTCGCGAAGATAGATCTTCAGAGTAAAAATGATGATACGTGTTCGTCAGCAATCAAACAAACACTAATATCGATTGCTGACTCACAAATGGCAAGAAGAAATGAACGTTAAGCGAATATCAATCAGATATCATCAGCAAAAATAAAAACAACGAAACACAAAAATTGTAGCACACAAATTCGAATGCAAAGCTCATCTTCCTGAGAAAAGAATTGAAATAAATGTAAATCACCATCGACCGATTATTGCAAATTATTTTGCTGCTGGCTTACTGTTCTAGTCCGCTGAATCACTCAACAGTGACATCAATATTAATAACACAAACAACGCTATAAGTAAGCGGCCTGCCATACTGATGGTCAACATCATAAAGTGTCACCTTTAGAGGCATGATGATGCAGCAGAAGGGATTCAGCCGCAGCCGCATTTGCCGTACACTCGTGTTCATCATCAAAATCAAGAGATACTTCAGAGTTGTTGTCGACTTGTTGCAATGGAGAGGTACTGATTGGTGGTGCTGATAAACGCTTTTGTGGGAACATTATTCGATAGCAGTTAACCTCGATTAGCGATTGTGGCAGTGAACTGAGTAACACTGGTAACAACACCAAACCATGGAACAGACCCCAAATAACCACCAATGATATCGTTTTGACGAATACCAACGGGATGTAATTCTGAATTCACGCTTGTTCCACAATTGCTGTTTGTTATGAATCCGGTAAATGATAATTCAACAATAAATACTCTCTGATGCCGTACTATTATGAGTCGTGATAGAAACTGAGAGGATTGAAGTATTTCATGATAATATGAATGGTAAATGCAGATGAACAAATAAACCTGCAGAAAGATGAGCGGAAGAACACAGGTGACTGTGCTGAGGCCAGCTTGCATCATTGGCCACGCGACACTTTCCAGGGTATATTCCAGCTTTTCACGACTGTTCTTTAATGGCACTTTAACGATTCGATTATCGCGATACTGCTTCATCTTTCGTAACTGCAAAGAATTTACTCTTCAACATCTTCTTAGTGAATTGAAAAAATGAACGATAGAATGGTACGCTGCTTGATATGCATTGTCTATGTGATTATGATGCAGATGATGATTTACTTGATAATGGTATGAAACGTGAGCCGTGAAATCAACGGACATTCCAATTGACATAAGAATAGCGCACAGTGTAGCTGGATCAAGGTCGAGATGCCACCACGATAGATATCCGATAACACCTGCGAATGAGATTGGCCCATTTAGTTTGTTCATTCCAACAACATCTGTTTGACCATATGAAAGGATCAATTTTGTTAACCGCTCCACTTCGAGAATAGAAGAAAGAAGCATCGAATGAATGTGGCTACTCACCAAGACTTATCGAAGCTATCGCCATCGAAGCAACCAGAACGCTGAATGGATTCTGTATGAAGAGTGCGCATACAGCTGTCATACAAATCAACGTCCAAACAGCTGTCTGTAAATGTCAGCTGTTCTAATTAGGTCGGCACTGATGAATTGCAGTATTATCCTCAAAGTCACTTACCTGCAGTGTGAGTGTTTTAAGCGATAGCATTTGATCAACAAACATTGAGTTTGCCTCCCAAACAGTTGCATTCAAATGTTTATATGATTGAACAATAACACGCCACTGTTGCATTAACTGGATACGATCATTCCACGATGTCGCATTATGATACGCTACAGTAAGCCAAAACTTTTCGATTTTCAACTCGGTGTTGTTCCTGAAAAGATTTAAACGACAAGTGATGAATATCACAACCGTAAGATGAGCGTTATAAATAATTCCAAGACTGAAGTGCTATTGCCACTAACCTGAGACGCATAAATGAGGCCCAATGTTTGTAAAGAGGTGATAAAAGGAATTCATTTAACCGACTATAATCAAAATCTGTTTTTAGAGGATCTGTCACAGCTGCTACGCTCGCGTTCTTCACAATATCATCGTCGTCATAGAAATCGAAGTCATATAAGGATGCTGCTTTCCAATATTTCTTATAATCTCGTAACCATAATAGTGTGAATTGTTGTCCTTGAAGTTCAAACACTTACTACCTCAGCGTTTTGAAATCAAACAGGGTCTTTGAATGTAAAAGTTTTGTTGAGGAGATGCAAAGACGAAGTAACAAATGCTCTAATCACACCTTTACATTTGCTCATCGACTCAAAGTCATGCATCATTGCATCAAACATATCCATTGTATATTTATCACGTATATCGAATGCATTGTTGATGAGAATTGTAACCGGATAATATTCAGTCCACACTAAATATATTCACTCAATAATTAGTGCTCCAATTGTGATCAATTCTAACAGTGTCATGTACGTAGAGTGCTTATGTGAACATAAATGTCTAAACGAGCAGTTAGACGTCGCCAGTCATGATCCAACTAACCGAGATTCGAGACAATGCTGTTCGCTTCTTGAAGAGGTGAATTTCTTGGTAAAAGTCGCTCGACATCAAGACGAGTTTTTATATTTAATGTACCCATTATGCCAAAATACCAATAAACCAATGTTCCTAGCAGTAATACAATGCTAAACACCTTTTGAGATATGATCCAAGTATACATTTTCAATACTCGTCGAATCCAAGCCTTGATCTGCAAAAGATCAATTAATCGATTCATATCCTTTCAAATAATCTCCGATTTTGCAATTCACGCTACTCAAATAGAGTGTAACGAACCGTCGTTCGTGTTTCACTTTTTTTTCGTTTCCCTTCAAAAATTGTCGCCAGATAGAGAATCGGACCAAACAAAACGAGTGAATAAATGTATGCAAGACCGAGCGCCATTGCAGTCGCCAAACAAAACAATGAAATTTCTGTAATAAACGTCCCTCATGATTACAATCAACATAATCGAATGATCCTCGCAAACATGACTATAAATGTAATAAGTTTGAATAAACCTGGCGTTGGCGTAAGTGCACCAATAGCGAATGTTATAACGTTTGTTAATGTTGTAATCGTAATTGATGGTCCTACCTCTTCGAGCACAAGACCTAGCCTTTCATTCACGATACGATCACTTGACAATCGCTGCCATGAATGAATCATCAAAAATGCATCGTTTACACCTTCAATTCATCTAATTTTCAATCATTCATTCACAAGAAATGATCATTAATCCAGTTGTTACTTGAGAACAAGTTCAGCAGAACAGTGGATATAAACGTGGTCTTATGACCAGCTAATAGTTCGATGAAAGCTCGTATATAAGGATTCCAAGACGTTGATTGATGATCAATCAGCTAAGTGTACAGCAGTGCGCTACTAACCAATGCCCATGATGAGAAACGGCATGATCAGCATAATTGTGTTCGTTCGAAGACTTGCGATTGCGCAAATACCGAATGTGGACGTTATCGCAAGAACTGGACATATGCTCGCACCGAATGCGACGAACAACTTGGCTGCATCCATTACACCGTTATAAAGTGCACTACCAACAACAGTAACTGCCACAAAGATAAACATCGAAACAAATCCTGAATTATTTAGCAAACTCATTCATTTTCGAAAATGCCTTTCACTTTCAAACGATACAACACTTCTTAGGTTGATGCAATTTTTGAATCACTTCCTTCTTCATTGTTTAAGACTCGATTTTTTTTTGGAGAAAAAGTTGAGACAATACGATGGGAATATTACTTGAATTTTAAGAAATAGAACCGGTAAAAAAGGTAAACCTGCGGCAAAATAAGGCGTCATCTTTTGTGAGTCTCTAATCAGCTCATGATTAACGATTTCTGCACCGAGCACCTGACAAGAATTATTGGTATTAAAAGCGCATACAAGTATTCAGTCATTCGATGAGTCTGTTTCACTGTTCGCATTGAATGAGAAGACCGAAGAAGAATGAGCAAACAATGCGCACCAACATTTCCACGTCTGGATTGGTGTAGTTGATTGTTGCGAAGTTGTAAACAGCCACCTCCCACGCATTCAACTTGGCTTCCATCTCTTCCGATGGAATGTCGCCTCGGAAGATCATCAAAATCACCTTTAAACAACCAACTTTTGAAAGTCATTCGGCGGTTTGCTAACTGTGCGTTGCTAAGTAAAAATAATTCGAATATCAGAAATTCAATTTCATCTTCAACAAATGAGCTACTCACTATTCCATGCATAAAACATAAATGATTCGTTCCGAATGCATCAAACCAAAATCACAATCCAACTAACATGAACGTGTTCTATATCGGTCACTTTCGACAAACGAATCACTTCACTGTCATCATTTTTTATAAATGAATCATTTCTTAGCAAATTCGATGAACGATCGTTATTATTTCGCAATTGAACTCCATAAAAATTTCTCTCCATATGAATATCAAATCCACCAATTTTAGCGATCGGATAGCTGAGATTCATTAGTTGCGTTCTGTTTTTTCCGATTCTATCACGTTCCAATTCATCTAATAAGGCACGCTAAAATACAGTGTTTATGATCATAGAATGAATCAAAAGAATCAGTAAATGAATCAATCGTTTCACTAACATAAAAGTATTCAATGACAATGTTTGTATTACAGTAAGACCCGCAAATATTCCCGTATACGACTTGTTCTCCCGTTACCGGTACAACCACAGTGAGATTGTACATAAGAAAAGTATGCAGTCGGACAGCTTCTTCAAGTTGCCGTAATCTATGCATAGAACCGCCATCGCGTGATCGTAAAGCCACCGTTGTCAACGTTGGATCACCTACAATCCATGCTTCTGTCTGCCTCGGAGTGTATTGTAAACTGTTCATTCATTCACACATCATATTTCAATATTAGTTGTTGAGACAAGCTCTCAATTAGTTTAGATGATGTTACCAACATCACAGTCAAAATCCAATTCAATCTATTTTTGTAAAATCACTGCTAATTACAGGTGACAAATGCAATGTGGTAATGAAAAGTATCGCTCACATACGCATATAAAAACAACTGAGCGCTGCAGCGTTAATAAAGTTAATTTATTGGAGTGAATCAAGCCGAACCCATCAAAATAATTACCTCTCCTTAGTGCAACATCCTTCATAAAGTCAGTACCAGTTAGTTAATTACGTGAACTAACTCAAAATTGAATATTCAATATAGTATGGAACACAACTCAGTTTCCTACAGTTCGCAATTAACGAGTAAATATTACGTACCGACTGACTGTAAGAATTCCCTGAGAACGTCGGTCTCATAGCGTGACGGTGATGTGGCCGGTGTATAACCGTCACGCACCCGATCTTCTAACTTCAGAAAATATATACCACCAGACGAACTGGCTATTATTATGGCAGCAATCAGATACGCGAGAGGATAAGTTCCGATGCTGAAGCCGATCAGATGAAAAAGCCTTCGAAGTGTCAGCTGCTGACAAAATGCGATCAATTTCGACGCTTTTGCCCCTACAAGTGAAGAAGGAAAGCTTGCTTAATTTTGACAGTCTACTATTCAGTTTCATAAGAAAATGAAAATGAATGATGAAATTGTATCATGAACACAATTCGATAATAGTAACAGGAAAGACGTAAGGATCATACGATTGTTATGTGCAGGTGCGAGTATTTGGGTGTTGCTATTACGAGTGTGCGGTTGCTGTTGGGGATGATGCTGTTCAAGGATGTCACTTGTCTCGGTCGACGCTTGCAAATGAGGAGCCATACGACCATCGCTCCTGCTGCCGTCGCCGCTAGTTTGTGCCGCAGCCATTCTTGCGCTATGCGCTAAAATCAGCCAAAATTGGCCAGATTTGCTCCTTTTATACTTTTACTTCCAGTTTAACAACGAATGTATTGATCTGAAAGCTGTTTTTTCTGTTTACTAATTGATTTAGCTTCAAAAAAAAAGAACCAATCATGAAATGATCAACGCATTGAAATGAAAAACAGCAAATGATAGAAATGATTTTCATTATTATCGCATAATAATAACGTGAAAGTTTTCGTCTTTTCACCATCAATTAAAATATTCATTAGTAGGACGTAAAACCCAAAAACATACGAAGTAAATCAAGAAACTAAATTCACTTTCAATGGCAAATTAATATCCGAACCATTGTTCATTATTGAGCATTACGGGCCTCAATAGTTCAGATTCAAATTTCGACCTACAACGTACTATTTCGAAAGAAATACTGGTGCTGGAGTATGCTTGTAAAAAACAATTTAGAAGACAGTCTTCACCAACTTAACCTCATAATTGTGATAATTTTATGACTGATAAACGTTCGCGACCTTGAAAGTTGTTTTAACGTATGAAAATGGGTTATGACAGGTGCAAGCCGTATGGCACACATGTGGTACTGTAGAAGGTAAGTGAAGAACAGTCAAAAATTGATGAAATGTGTAGGTGAATGGCTGACTAGGACAAAAGAGCGAGCCTATTTGAACAAACGAACAAAACTATGAAAGGGTGTTGGTTGTTGAATTGATGGTAGGTGCTAGCTACTAATTGAATGAACGAGGCAAGGAGGGATGTGTGCTTTCTGCAAAATAAGGAACATCACACGACAAACGCCATCTGCTAACAATAATACTCGTATGTGTGCTATGGAGGAAAGTAACAAAAAATGATATATTTGTATTCAAGCAATGAGTTTACTATTTGAGTCTGATAAATTCGAAGAGACCAACTAATAATATGTTAAAATAACAAACAAATGATTTTTTGGACCATCCTTAACGATTCTGTTCTTATCTGCTTTCGAGAAGAACAATAAGAACAAAGAGACGTACATGTATACGTCTATTATGTGATGTACGGATGAAACGATCAATGGATGCGAATGAATGAATGAACGATCAGTGAACAAAACGAAAATCGAAGGCATTGCGCACTTCTGATGCGGGCATCGTTGTTGTCGTATGCAAGTGAATATCTTTCTGAAAGATGAAGGATAGATACTTCAGCGATGCAAATACACTTCTATTGATTATTGCTCCTCGACATCTGTCGCGACGGAGCGCGAAAGAGACGATTCGTGAGAGACACCAAAGTGATACATAAATTCAACCCTTAAATCTGTACGTTAGCTGTATATGTATAAGAGGTACACGGATATCATGCACTATCGATTCGGATGACCAAATGTAACTTTCGTGTACCTTATTTGAAGGATCTCCTCCTTTTGTGTTTGTATCATATGAATACTTCGTGTTTCGATAATATAAAACAGTGTTATTACAAATAAACGCCGGAAAGATCCATTCATTCGATTAATGAAAACAGTTCACATCAGTCAGCCTAAGCTTGTGAAATCATCAGAACTATCAAAAGGTGATCATACCTGCCGTAAAAGCGAATCGAATTCGAAGGAATGAACTGAATCAGTCTTCAATTGATTGAATGAGTGATTATAGTTACATCTATCTCAAATATAATAATTACTGGAGATAGATGCGTGTGAGCGATTCTAAAGCCAATATCCAACAGTTAGCCAACTCAGCGAAGCGTTCTCAGATGTTAATTTAAGCATTTTGTTTTTAACACCGTGTCAACTAAACTGAACGAATATTTTGATTGATTCCATAGAGAAGACAACACAGCACTAGTAACAACATTCAGTGCAATAACGATTATTTCAACTCGATCGGCCACCATCTCAAAACCGGTCGTTGTTGAGTTCGCAAACTGCATGCCTACCACCACAATCTGTTCATGTTCATCCGCCAATTCACCATTGGGCCCAACATATGTGCATGTGTTTGTGATTGTAATTATATAAATTTATTTTTGTGAATGCATATAATGTTACATAAAACATAATATGCGAATATAAATATGGAAGAGTGCTTGTGTGTGCCCTCACCTCTAGTAGCACATGCTCGTTTTCAACCTCTACATATACTCACCCACCATTCTTTTCCGTTGCTCTATCCTCTCAATGAAACATCGGTTTAGTTCAATAAATAAATGAATGATGACATATATTTTTATCGGATTCCCCTTTCTAAAATAAACATACACACGATCAATGACGATAATCAGGGCTTTCTATGTCTCACACCTAGGTAATTGAACCTTTACAGTAAAAAAAAANAAAAAAAAATTATCAATCATATCAAATCGTATCGTAACAAACATTTCATATATGGACCATCACCAATAACAACTCAAAACTCAAAAGATATAGACCATGCGGTAATAAGATCAAAAAATACGTATGTTTGCTGAATAAAATTACATCGCTATGCCATATCTAAGTCTTAATCTAATACAACGTCATGTTCCGTTCCCATTTCAGCATTATCTTCCCAATGTGACATCTACTAATCCCTTATTTCTGATACAGTATTTCTATTCATACGAATTTCTTACTCTGCACGTACGTCTCTTCCTTGTATATCCTCATATTTGTTCATCAAATTGTAGCTCCATCGGTTTTTACAATACCTAATCACAACTACCGTTTTGATTGGATATTTAGAAAGATCAGATATTTACACTCTACCACACTGATCAAAACACAGAATGAACGGAGTAATTTCAAATGTATTCGACAACTTTTAATACTTTTTGACAGCCACTAAAAAAAATTTGACGTTAAGCAAATTAGTTAACTGTAAGGGAACGAATAGCGAATAAACGATATGATCACCTGAGAAATGCTGTTTAAAATGATTCTAAACTGAATAAATAAACAAATATGTTATTTACTGCGGACATACAACAACCATCCAAAGTGCGTCACTATGAACAATATGGTGATTTAGAAATCGCCAGTTCATTTGATGTCAAGACGGTGATGTTGCTAACAATAACATGTAAGCTATTCATTCATTCTTCGCTTCACGATCAAATTCGAAAACGACTGACTGATTTTGAAGCAGCAATTGAATTAATCAAAAAAAACGACCCGTTCAACGAACAACCCACCGAGCAAACGCGTCATCGATTTGCTGCACATGAACGTGAGTTCTTATTCTGAATCGGAAACGTTACTTCGAAAAAAGAGCTAAATAATGTATGTTGTATACGAGCAAGAGCGTTAATAACTTGTGTCGTCATTTCATATATACCAACATTAAATTAACCCATTCTTCGTCACCAAATAGTTAAACAAAATATTGACCAAACATTCTCGCTGCTGATGCCGTATTTTTTTGAATTTTATTTATCCTATATCTATGTACGTACATTAGTCATTATTGTCTATTCGCATCGTGGAATAATGTTGAAGAATATGGAGAGCAGTAACCGTATGGGTTATTTTCTTCACACTCAATGAATACATAGTTTTGTACGATAGAAGCAGAATGGAAATAAAAAATAAGCAGACACCATGCATAATTAATTGATTTAACTTGATAGCAGTTACGACGAGATGGGAAATAATACATCAAAGAACATGATGTACTTTGAAGATGGTCGTTGTTAAACAATACAAAATAACTCATGAATTCACATACGCAACACGATTGATTTGATTAGTTAGTCAAGAGTGCTAATTGCGATCGGTTAACCGAATCTTATGCATTAATTGAATTAAATAAATATATTGTCGAGCAAATGAAATGCTTTCATTGGAACCGGTTAATCGTTTCAATGCATCAGTTGTTCGTCGGCTCATAGCTCATATCCTCTCTTATCTCCTGGTGTTCTTTA